TTGTTGACTAGTGTTTTCAAGTGGTGAAAGAGTAGCCGACAGGTGCAATGGTCACAATTAATACTTTAAATATTTTTGATGCTACAGTATAATATGATTCTGTTAATCTGTTTAGGACTCAAGTAGTTGAATTGTTTTTCTGGTAGTTGGAGAGGATACTAGTATTTAAATATAGATTATTTAATTACTATTAGATTAGTAGGCTATACTGTTATAATTGATTGTTATATAATTAATTAATCTTTTCTCTATAACTATTAAAAACTTGCTTAAATAAGTTAAAGAATATTTAAAAAAAAAAAATAATTGTAATAATTATTATATGTTAAGCAGGTGTTCCCCACTGTATATCTAGTATCACAACATCATCTGACTACATTCATTATTGATCCAAATTTTTACAATATTTGTCTTATATTCTGCTGCCATAATATTTGTACTTTTAAATAAATCAATTTGTTAAAATTCGTTTTATAATGTTTTATACTTAAACCCAACGAATGCCCAACGATTCTTTCCTTTGTAGGGCCAACGAATACCAGTTTCTGTTGGGCCAATGTTGGCAAATCGTTAAAATTTCTGCCAACCATTTCCCAACCGTGCCGACCATTTCCCAACGTTGGGCCAACAATGTGTGCTACTTGGGGTCAAAATCATTGGGGACGGGATTCCAATTTGAGGTTAAGGCTATGTTACATGTTGACTTGATAAGAATACATTGACAAAGAGTAAGAAGTTAATACTATCGATACAAAATTATGTCAATCAATATTCATTCAGTTATACAGTGTGTAAATTAAGTCTGGCACACATTTTTTATCTTTTTTTCTCTAATAGATAGAAGAAATCAATTTGCGTGACTGATTAATAACAAATGTTAGGCACTTTTTACAAATTTTGAAAATAAAAATTCCCTTAAGGGCAAGTGGGGGTGGGGGGTAACTAAAAATTTTCAAATGACAACCCCCATCTTGTGACCCCTCATTTTAAAGGTATTTAGAAGACAAATCTAAAGATGTGTCTGAAAAAAGTTTTTTGCACCCTATCCAAGATGGCGGTTTAAAATGTACTTAGGGTTGAAAAGGTAAATTAGGTATGGCACACATTTCTTATCTTTTTTACTCTTTGTAGATAGAAGGAATTAATTTGCGGGACTGAGTAAGAACAAATGTTTGGCACTTTTTCATAATTTTGAAAAAAAATTCCCTTAAGGGTAAGGTACCACCCAACCGTACCAGCAAACACCACAACTCAATCAAACCATCGTAGTTTTAAAGCACGCTCCAATCAATACCCACAATATACTTCACCGGAGAAGGACTCGTACATACAATTTTCTTCCGCTAAAACGTGTTGTTTAAAACTACTGTGACAACTGAAGTGTAGGGGGTGTGACAGGAAGAGGAAGTAGCGCTTACCATATTGCACCCTGGGTAATCTGACCCGGAAGACAACATTGTATGTAATAATATCTCATTATTATTATTATAACCGAGATTATAACCGAATTGCGATTTATTTCATCGTTAAATTTGTCTTCCAAATACCTTTAAAATGAGGGGTCACAAGATGGGGGTTGTCATTTGAAAATTTTTAGTTACCCCCCACCCCCCCTTTGTCTTAAGGGAATTTTTATTTTCAAAATTTGTAAAAAGTGCCTAACATTTTTTATTAATCAGTCCCGCAAATTGATTACTTCTATCTACTATAGAAAATAAACGGTATCAGCATTCTGACACATACTTTCTCCCATAAGTTTGTCAACAACCTTTATCATATTGTGTAAGCGGTGAGAGTAAATATACGGAATTGGGATTAGTATAATCTTGTTCAGAATTTAAAGGACTACATACAAAATTTTTATCAAAATCGTTTGGGCCAGTTTTTTGAAAATCAGATTTTCCGTTATTTTATGGGAAAATAACATAATTTACAATAACTTTTGAACCGTAATTTTTACAGAAATGGGATTTGTACAATTTTGTTTAGAATATAAAGGACTATAACATACCAAATTTTTATCAAAATCGTTCGGGCCGTTTTTGAGAAAATCCTATTTTTCCGTTATTTTATGGGGTTTTATGGGAAAATTCCCATAAAAAATTAAATTTTTTTTAATGAAAAAAACTATTAAAACTTTAAGAACCATAACATACTATGTTAAATTAAAACCGGATTTTTTTCTAAAATCCTATTTTTCGTTATTTTACGGGGGTTTTATGGGAAAATAACATAATTTACCATAACTTTTGAACCGTAATTTTTAGAGAAATGGAATTTGTACCATTTTGTTCAGAATTTAAAGGGCTACAACATACTAAATTTTTATCAAAATCGTTCGGGCCGTTTTTGTGAAAATTTGATTTTTCCAGTTTTTTATGGGTTTTAATGGGAAAATCCCCAATAAAAATCAAAATTTCAAAAAAATGAAAAAAACACCTGGAGATACCATGGATTAGAACCTACATACCAAATTTCATCGAAATCGGACCACAGGTGTAGTCCCTAGCTCTGTACACATCCAGACACACAGACACACACACACACACACAGACATCACTTGGAAAACCACTTTTTTGGGTCCAGGGGGACCCAAAACGAATATATCCACTCAAAACTCAAACTCGAAAATTTTGACGAAAACAATACTTTCTCCATACTATGGTATAGGGGGAGAAAGTAAAAAGATAAAAAATGTGTGCCAGACTTAATTTACACACTGTAGTTATTCGTAATAGTCCAGGCAATTTAGACAAAAAAATGGTGTGCTTCCCGAAAAATCGTCTAAAGTGTTTTATTTAATATCTTTTAGGGGTCCCAAAAAGAGTCCTTTGAGTTTGTATAACTTTTGGAGTCAAAAAACTATGAGAATTTTGCACTTTTTCAGTTTTTGGCTTAACTCATGAATGATGAATCCAACGAAAATTGTAGTTCAGTTGTTTCTTAAAGTGCAGTAAATCATGTATCAACTATAACAAAAATGTGTTAAATGGGTCAAAATCGGCTCAGCGGGTTAGTCGCTTAGCTTTTCAAAACTGAAATATTTTCACCAAAATGGCTATTCTTTATTTAGTTTATGCTTACAACTCCTAAACGACACCGACAATTGCTACAGAAAATGTACCTGCAATTTGTAGTTTGAAGAAAATACAATTCTAAAAGAATGCTTTTTATTCATCAAGAACGGCTCATCCTCTCAACGGTAATTGATTGTTCAAATTGGGTGATTTTACCAGCTTGGCCAACATTTTTATTCTGCCCATTAAATGGTTCATATTATATAGTGATGTCGTGGTAATCATCCAGAGATTTATCCAAGAATGTAACTATGTAATTTTAGGTCTAATATTGTTGTCTAGGGTTCCAGAAATTCTAAGATTCACTTCAACCTCTCCTTTATTCGATCCATCCCTGGATCCTTTGTTCAGTTTTTGCCTTACAACTTAAGGACACATGCTACAGAAAAATGTACCTGTAATTCGTTTGAATAGCATAAAATTCTGCTTAGAATGCTTTTCAACTCATTAAGATCGGCTTTGTCATTTAGCCGCTATTGATTGATAACAAACACTAGATCAGATGCTTGTAAGTTTCTGTACTGACGAAAATTTTTCAAAGTCTATCACACCATAATCTAGCACAATGTTTTTTGTTACGACTTTTGTGAAATAACCTAGTTCAATAAACTGTCATAGCCACAGACATAGCATTAGTCGATTTGCCATTGAGCTGTAAGGGCCGGCGCGCACTATCCCGACCACAACCAAAGGCCCGACCGGTTGTTGTCATTCACCATACAATCAGAGCACAACCCGACTAGGACTAGAGCAACGTATGTTAAACAACTTCAGTGTCAAGATGGATGTTGAAATGAGTAACGTTTTTACATCCAATAAACATCAGTGTGATCTCCCAAGCTTCCTTCTTCATCCCTCTTTTGGAATAATCTACTACTGATAGATCCCATAAATAGGGCCCTCCTTTAATTGCTGCAATAAAACTCTCAGTGTCAAAATCCTGCGACATTTTACAAAAGAAGCCACTTCACAAACCACACAAAAACAAGAGCTGGGGAGTGGTGTACTGGTCGGGTCGGAGGTCATGGGTAGTGCGCGTCGCTCCATTAAAATGTGTTCTATTTTAATTCTTATTCTATTTTTTCTGGCAACAGCCAGCGAGTGGAGCCCGACCTAACTGCAAGGACTTTGGTCGTGCAACCAGAGTCTGTCCAGGGTCCGACCAGTGCGCGCTGTTCCATTCACTGTTATAAAACTGGTCGGAGTCGTGGTCGTGGTCGGGCTAGTGCACGCCAGCCCTAAGGAAATAAATTTAACTGTTAACCAATGTCGTAAACCTAGTTTTATATTTTGGTATTTTAAGCCTGTATTGGTCTGAAATATCAATGTTTAGTACATTTATTTTTTCTTTTTGTTTCACTTTTAGTTACAGACTTGTTCAGAATAGATTTCAAGTTTGGAAAATTTTCGCCAGTACAGAAACTTCAAACGATGACATGACATGGTGGTTAATTGAACACTTCTTATTCCTAAACAAAACCTGACAAAGTCATGTACGATTCCCAGTTCCCTTAAAACTCTGTATCAAATTAAGTTTTTTTTTTTATTTTATTTACAAAACCTGCAAACAACATAAGATTTTATTCCATACACAAGACTCTTCATCCAATTTTGTTCTGATTTCTACTTAAAAAATTCAAAATTACTCATCCAAACTTTTGAAATTACCCACTCTAAATTCTTAAAACGACAAATACTCACAAAAACTAGACAGCTATTAAACAGTGGGTATCATACTTGAGCATTCTACTATCTAAATGTTAAATTAGAGTCAGTGCTTATGGAACTGTACGAGCCTGGCCTTGAAATATACAGATAACAAGATAACCCATCACAACTAAATGTTAAATTAAATTATAACCCGTTAATAATTAATAAGGAACCTAATAAACTTTTGCTTCAAAACTATAATCAAAACACAAGGAACAAAAATAAAACATATTTAATCAAAATGGGTACAACAATTGCGGCAGGATGCATATAAATATCTTCTATAAAAATAATATAGCGTTGCGCTGGCGCTGTGCCTCAGAAGCACTGCGGACGAAGCGGCAAGCACATGTTGTAGTAAGCTGTCTTGTTCCAAAAGTCAGGTTTCTTCCAGCCGACCCAGCCCTTGGACTGGATAGTGCGAAGGTCCTCACTGCCTGTGTAGTGAGGGTCCAGGATCAGGAATCTTACATCTCCAGAGTCCCGGTCCAGAGTCACTCCCAGGATAGTGTGGGCCAGAACTCCTCCTCCTGCAATATAGGCAAATGTTTAAGCCAAACCAAGTGTTTTGGTTTTGCAAAGGGGCTTGAATTTAGAATAACTTTGAAGTTCCAAAGTTAAAGTTATTTGCTAGATTAATGCTTCCTATGAATGTTTGATTAACGAGAAGCTCTTTTCCTTAACATTACGTATACAAAATGTACAGTTCATACTGTAATAACCTTAATAGCATTAGCATTAGCAATTGAGATGGAGACTAAATTGAGATAGCAAGATAAATGTTTACAAATCACTAGGGTTTTATCTGAATAACTTCTGATGATAACAAATAAACTATAAAAGATTAATATTGAAATTTAATTTAAGTATAGTTCTGCTAAGAAAAAGAAGAAAATCTTTAAAGTAAGCATAGGATGATATGCACATAAAATATGGTCTTTGTTAGTAAAATAAAATGCCGTTGAAAGATTGGAGTCAAAAGTTAGCTTTCACTTTGGATGTTGAGGTTTAGGTCTAATTGCACCTTGCTAAGTAGCCAAAAAGGATGTTAAAAAATTTGACGCTAATATGAATTAGTGTGCAAAAGGCTTTTTCATTTCATGATCGTATAACTGTATGACATTAAAAACAATTTCTCTTAAAATTCAAGACTAATTTCAGACTTTTCAAGACTAGTTTTTCAACAATTGGTGATGTTTTATGTCGATACCAAAATTTATCGATTCTCGATACCAATACCATTTTTCATAGTTTAACCAATATTCATTATTATTAATAACTTAATTTTACTACACTAACCCCTTTATGTAATAAAATATTTTTAAATGATGGAGCGTTTATCACGTAAAGAAAAAATTAATGCAGCAATGAAAAACTAGCCAATTTGGGTTTGAACCCATCTTAACACATTAAATAAATACCATATCAAAGGTAAATGAAGATCTAATGACAAAAAGACAACTTTATTATAACTAGAGGTGTGCCAGCCTGATATTTTCAGTTAAGCCAAGACAGAGGTAATAGCGTGATCATCTGCGGTCGTGGAGACATCATCGAAACATCCTCACTATCTTTTGCGGTTGCGGGAAAATCCTGAATAGCAACAAAATCGCCATTCTCTCTGTCTCCCGCGGTCACGGAATCGCCATCCTCATCTCCCGTGGTCATGGAAACATTATCAACAACTACCACGATCGTGGCGATATCACAAGTATCTCCCACGGTCATATGGCCATTATCATCGTCTCCCACAATCACAGGAAAAACTCTGATCAGACTATCCCCTGTGGCTGTAAAGACAACTTTATAACTTTCAAGGTCACAAAACCTTATCTTTGTCTTCCCCGATCGCGATAACAGTATGATTATCTCCCGTGGCCATGTGAACATCATCATCGACTTTCGCAGTCACGGAAACATCATTGTAATCTTGTGCTATCGTAACAAATTCCCAATAAATTCTCGGCAGAATGGGCATTATCATCCTATTCCGCGAGTGCGATAACATTCTGATTATTTCCCGCAGCCATGAAAATATCATCATCAACCTACGCAGTTAGGGAAATGTCATCATCATCTTGCTCGATAGCAGCAAATTCACAAAAATGTATCCGAATTATTTGGCCGAATGGAATTAATTATTATTGTATTCCGCAATCACGGCAAAATTCTGTTCATCTCTCATGGTTGTATAGTCATCATCATCAACTCCCCACATACACAAAAACGTGATCGTCATCTAGCACAATCACGGCAAAATCAAGAAACATCACTAAAGTCGTGTAGACATCATCGTCTCCCGCGGTCGCGGAAACATGATTGTCTTCTTGCGCGATCGAGGCAAAATCTTAAACATCCCACACATGCCGTCTAAATAGCATCATTGCCTCCTGTGGTCATGAAAACATGATTGTCGTATAGTGCGATCACAGCAAAATCATGAAAATTTGATTAGATTTTACATGGTCCATAAAGTTCCTAACTCTGCCAACAAAATAAAGACTAAATCCCGACTTACCCGACTTATTCCCAGATTACCAGTTTTTCCCCGACTACTAGACGGTGATTTCTTGAGGGTAAGGCATAGGGGCATTATACATTTCCTAAATTAAATCTCATTTCTCTTGTCTGCACAGTAGAGAGAAGCCTCATCAACAGTCCTCTGTTCAGTGTTCTACACTCACCAATCATGACAGGTGTTCCATGAGTGTTGAAGTGGTTGGCCAGAGTTCCTCCCAGTTCCTGCAGCTCGCTGCCGGAGCTCACGTTGATGATGCGACAAGTGACTCCCAGCATGGTGTCCAGACAGAAGCTCACCTCTGTTGAGCCGATCCACTGGCGAGACCCCACGAAGCTCACTGGCTTGTCTTTGATGTCTACCAGACACTGTTGTATCTCCTTGTGTGAGGGAACCGGACGATCCGTGTAACCTTGATGCCTGTGCGATTTGTTAAATAGTTTAGGGTCATTTATGTATTGTATGTATTGTACATTTATGATAAGATCTGACAAAAAACTTAATTTATAAATTTAAAGACATCATTCAAAACTTTTTGTTTTAATATTCTAAGTCAACACTAAGTAAGTATATTGAATATCATGACAAAAATAAGATGAGTTTAGAGCGCTTTTAAAATTAGCAATGCTTCTTGTTGTATCTAAACTTGCATATAAAGTAGAATGGGTGAAATGCCCTGTGTAGCTTAGCTTTATACTAATAATTTATTCTTAATCCATTTACTAAACCAAATCAAGAATATATTTACCCAACAATTTTGGGACAAGTCCAACAATATTTGTTAAAGTAAAAAATTCAAGTTAAAATAATGATTTAATAACATGTTAAAAGTTTATACTGTTAATACTGTTGCTGTGTATACTGTAATACTGTAAACCCCCGTTTACCTGAACCATGAGATGACCGTCTGTAAGCTTCTGTATGCACAGCCCCAGCCATCATCATTGAAGTTGTCCTGCATGTAGTGGTGATAGCTGTAGCGGCCAGACACCACACTCACCTTTCCTTCCTTCACTGTCACAAACACAACACATTACAGCACAATCTGAACCATAAGATGACTGTCTGTAAGCACCCGTATGAACAGCCCCAGCCATCATCATTGAAGTTGTCCTGCATGTAGTGGTGATAGCTGTATCGACCAGACACCACACTCACCTCTCCTTCCTTCACTGTCACAAACACAACACATTACAGCACAATCTGAACCATGAGATGACCGTCTGTAAGCACCCGTATGAACAGCCCCAGCCATCATCATTGAAGTTGTCCTGCATGTAGTGGTGATAGCTGTATCGACCAGACACCACACTCACCTCTCCTTCCTTCACTGTCACAAACACAACACATTACAGCACAATCTGAACCATGAGATGACCGTCTGTAAGCACCCGTATGAACAGCCCCAGCCATCATCATTGAAGTTGTCCTGCATGTAGTGGTGATAGCTGTAGCGGCCAGACACCACACTCACCTTTCCTTCCTTCACTGTCACAAACACAACACATTACAGCACAATCTGAACCATAAGATGACTGTCTGTAAGCACCCGTATGAACAGCCCCAGCCATCATCATTGAAGTTGTCCTGCATGTAGTGGTGATAGCTGTATCGACCAGACACCACACTCACCTCTCCTTCCTTCACTGTCACAAACACAACACATTACAGCACAATCTGAACCATGAGATGACCGTCTGTAAGCACCCGTATGAACAGCCCCAGCCATCATCATTGAAGTTGTCCTGCATGTAGTGGTGATAGCTGTATCGACCAGACACCACACTCACCTCTCCTTCCTTCACTGTCACAAACACAACACATTACAACACAATCTGAACCATGAGATGACCGTCTGTAAGCTTCTGTATGCACAGCCCCAGCCATCATCATTGAAGTTGTCCTGCATGTAGTGGTGATAGCTGTAGCGGCCAGACACCACACTCACCTCTCCTTCCTTCACTGTCACAAACACAACACATTACAACGCAATCTGAACCATGAGATGACCGTCTGTAAGCTTCTGTATGCACAGCCCCAGCCATCATCATTGAAGTTGTCCTGCATGTAGTGGTGATAGCTGTAGCGGCCAGACACCACACTCACCTCTCCTTCCTTCACTGTCACAAACACAACACATTACAGCACAATCTGAACCATGAGATGACTGTCTGTAAGCTCCTGTATGCACAGCCCCAGCCATCGTCATTGAAGTTGTCCTGCATGTAGTGGTGATAGCTGTAGCGGCCAGACACCACACTCACCTCTCCTTCCTTCACTGTCACAAACACAACACATTACAACGCAATCTGAACCATGAGATGACCGTCTGTAAGCTTCTGTATGCACAGCCCCAGCCATCGTAATTGAAGTTGTCCTGCATGTAGTGGTGATAGCTGTAGCAGCCAGACACCACACTCACCTCTCCTTCCTTCACTGTCACAAACACAACACATTACAGCACAATCTGAACCATGAGATGACCGTCTGTAAGCACCCGTATGAACAGCCCCAGCCATCATCATTGAAGTTGTCCTGCATGTAGTGGTGATAGCTGTAGCAGCCAGACACCACACTCACCTCTCCTTCCTTCACTGTCACAAACACAACACATTACAGCACAATCTGAACCATGAGATGACCGTCTGTAAGCACCCGTATGAACAGCCCCAGCCATCATCATTGAAGTTGTCCTGCATGTAGTGGTGATAGCTGTATCGACCAGACACCACACTCACCTCTCCTTCCTTCACTGTCACAAACACAACGCATTACAACACAATCTGAACCATGAGATGACCGTCTGTAAGCACCCGTATGAACAGCCCCAGCCATCATCATTGAAGTTGTCCTGCATGTAGTGGTGATAGCTGTATCGACCAGACACCACACTCACCTCTCCTTCCTTCACTGTCACAAACACAACGCATTACAGCACAATCTGAACCATGAGATGACCGTCTGTAAGCACCCGTATGAACAGCCCCAGCCATCATCATTGAAGTTGTCCTGCATGTAGTGGTGATAGCTGTATCGACCAGACACCACACTCACCTCTCCTTCCTTCACTGTCACAAACACAACACATTACAACGCAATCTGAACCATAAGATGACTGTCTGTAAGCACCCGTATGAACAGCCCCAGCCATCATCATTGAAGTTGTCCTGCATGTAGTGGTGATAGCTGTATCGACCAGACACCACACTCACCTCTCCTTCCTTCACTGTCACAAACATAACGCATTACAACACAATCTTAACCATGAGATGACTGTCTGTAAGCACCCGTATGAACAGCCCCAGCCATCATCATTGAAGTTGTCCTGCATGTAGTGGTGATAGCTGTAGCGGCCAGACACCACACTCACCTCTCCTTCCTTCACTGTCACAAACACAACACATTACAACGCAATCTGAACCATAAGATGACTGTCTGTAAGCACCCGTATGAACAGCCCCAGCCATCATCATTGAAGTTGTCCTGCATGTAGTGGTGATAGCTGTAGCGGCCAGACACCACACTCACCTCTCCTTCCTTCACTGTCACAAACACAACACATTACAGTGCAATCTGAACCATAAGATGACTGTCTGTAAGCACCCGTATGAACAGCCCCAGCCATCATCATTGAAGTTGTCCTGCATGTAGTGGTGATAGCTGTAGCGGCCAGACACCACACTCACCTCTCCTTCCTTCACTGTCACAAACACAACACATTACAACGCAATCTGAACCATGAGATGACCGTCTGTAAGCTTCTGTATGCACAGCCCCAGCCATCATCATTGAAGTTGTCCTGCATGTAGTGGTGATAGCTGTAGCGGCCAGACACCACACTCACCTCTCCTTCCTTCACTGTCACAAACACAACACATTACAACGCAATCTGAACCATGAGATGACCGTCTGTAAGCTTCTGTATGCACAGCCCCAGCCATCATCATTGAAGTTGTCCTGCATGTAGTGGTGATAGCTGTAGCGGCCAGACACCACACTCACCTCTCCTTCCTTCACTGTCACAAACACAACACATTACAACGCAATCTGAACCATGAGATGACCGTCTGTAAGCTTCTGTATGCACAGCCCCAGCCATCATCATTGAAGTTGTCCTGCATGTAGTGGTGATAGCTGTAGCGGCCAGACACCACACTCACCTTTCCTTCCTTCACTGTCACAAACACAACACATTACAGCACAATCTGAACCATAAGATGACTGTCTGTAAGCACCCGTATGAACAGCCCCAGCCATCATCATTGAAGTTGTCCTGCATGTAGTGGTGATAGCTGTAGCGGCCAGACACCACACTCACCTCTCCTTCCTTCACTGTCACAAACACAACACATCACTACACAATCAAACAGCTTCCTCAACACAAGCAGTGCTGTACCTACTGGAGGATGGAATGGGGAGTGGCCATAGAGAAGATCTTTCAGATAGCTGTGATGTGGAGTTTCATGAATTATATAGTCAATGATTGACCTTTAATGGCTCTCTGTCATCACTTTGTGTTATATACTGTACTTCTTTTATACAAACATTTTAAAACTGAAACCTCTCGAATTTCTATGTCAAAAATTGAACAAAATTAGCATAGCTTAAAGTGGTGGAGGATGCACGTTTTGCTTTTTTATAATAGTATTTTTTATCTTTATTATTGGATCCACAGCAAACAAGCTTTGAACCAATAAGTCATCGCATAGTTTCTGCGGTATTGAAATCTGCAATAAATTAATTCAGGACAGGAATTCCACCCTCTAATCTCTTTGAATAGACTCTTTGATACAAATTGCAATCTGGAGTGGCATGTAGATCCAGGATCAGATTTAAAATTAATTTGAACATGACAAAATTTTGAAGAAAACGCCTTATGCCTAGTATGTGTCATGAAATATTGCTACTCTAGCAGACTTATAATTTAATATACTTTTTGGACAAGCTCTCATCAGGTACTCACATGCAGGACTGAGGCCTTCGTGAGGATTGACAAGTGGTGAGTTAGGTGACAGCTCTTCTTTGAACACATGAACATTTCCTTTCCTGAAAACAGGTCTATCCTGTGGCAGCTTCAACTGGTCGTGGAACCATTCCCTTCTACTCTCTGTAGACAGATTTAACGAGCATTATTTTAATTATACATTCAGAAAGTATCAAGCAAAGAAAAGAGTGAGCTGGTACAGTACAAGAATGAACTCTACTGATAAATATCCGAGGAAGCACCAGGACTTAAACCCACGGCATTGCTGCTTTAAAATGTATATTTGTAGTCTTGCTACCCACTGAGCCATTGACTCACCAACTTGCTGAATTGGTTTAAGTGTCAACAAAGCAACACGATTCATTATCCAAAGTGAATGAATAATCTAAGAGACAGTTAGAAATGGTACATTAGTTAGGATTTTGCAGTTTTAACAAAGACTGAGACCATGAAAAATAAAGCGGTTGACTTTCAATTTGCTGACATACAAGAGTAACAAAGGCTGGGAATAAATCTACCAGTTTATTACATAAAACTTATAGATTTATCAAGGCAAGACTGGCTATACTCACTCAAGTCATCGTCAGTTCTGTTAGAGAGGTAGACGAGTGTGAGGAAGTGTCCAAGGTGTGGAGGTAGGAAGTGGTAGGCTCGTGGTACAGCCAGCCGCTTGTGTCCCTGACTGAGACACCTCTCAAACACTCTGAGTGAGCGACACAAAGTGTCTACCAGTACAGAGTACAACTCTGCTGTGTGAGTCTCTCTGTCTAGCAGAGCTAGGTGGTCCACTGGCAACTCTACCTGCACCAGCTGTTTGTTACCTGCAATACAAAACATTCCATTCAGATTAGGAGTCAGCGGGTCCCTGATATTTTCAACAGCTGGCCTGAGGAATGAGTTCAGCCAAAGACAATTTGGGTTAAGCGGAGCTTTAATTTTTGCGATCGTAGGAAGTGTCTGATTTATCCATGATCGTATGTGATCACAGTTTTCCTGCTTTTGTTGAAGAACATGATGATGTCACTGTGACAGTGAACATGTTGACGAGTTTGACATTACAGCAGAAGACAATTGTATTACCACCATTTTGCCAAGATTGCAGACAATCTTTACGATTTATGACAAAAGAAAATTTGCAGGATTTTGAAGTGGCCGCGGAACATGTTCTCAATTTTCCTGCAGAAGATGTTCTTGATTTTGTAATGACTGCATAAGATGTTCTCGATTTTGCTTTGAGTATGTTCACAATTTGGTAACCTGCACAGTTTTTCTGTGACTGCAAAAGATGTTATAAAAAAGATTTTTTCACAATGTGTTTCAAGCACTGAAAGTAAACATACACCTAAAGGAAATTCAGTTAGTCTTTAGGTTTGCTGCGGCAGGGGTGTTTATTATTATCTACCTTCATAATAATCCAAATAAATGCACTTGTACCATATACTACCCAAATTTATGACATGTGAATAAGTTAACAAAATTAGTATGTTGGAGAGTATGTATGAACTCATATGAGTGCTGTTTTGCTGTAGCCTATTAAGCTTTTATAATTATATGAATCTTAGCTCCTTGGTTCTGAATTACTTTGAAACTCAATAAAATAATATATCAAAAATATTTATATAAAATGAAAATGAGACTTTTATTAGTTTTAAGATACTCCAGGGAAAAAATGCACAAAAGCTCCAATACATTTCGCTAGTACAGTAGAACGCCAACCATCACCCAAAGCAGAACTACGGGCGACAGTGCGTCATTGTTGCAGAAAGGAAAAGGAGGGCTCCAGAGAGGGGTCGCCGGAATTCTACCCCCGGATATTTACCCCCATGAAAAAACGCCTACGTCATTTTGACGTCACGAGGGGCGGGGCCTATACACGGTCGAGAAACAGCCCGCGACTGGAAATCTACCCCCGGACATCTACCCCCGGACATCTACCCCCAGACATCTACCCCCAGACATCTACCCCCGGAAATCTACCCCCGGAAATCTACCCCCATGGTCAGCTACGCTACGTATCGGCCAAGATGCATTGTCGTAATTGATTTCATTAATTGGTTTATGTAGGTCAACGGCTCGGTTATTCATTAGCTTATTATGCAAATTATTTTTTTTCTTGTAAAACGAAAACTCAAAAAATACTTTATTTTTCTTGGGCAATAATATACCCCAAGCCATTGTCAACGCAACAGGTGTGTCACCAAAACGATGATATCATCAAAAATATTTCAAAGTAATTAATAAGAAAGCATATTCATAATAGCATATTTAGAAATACCCCCCCCCCCCCCGCTGCAGCAAACCTGCAGACTAAGCGAATTTCTGTTTGCTTGATTAGATTTCCACTCAAATGTCTCCTTAAAAATATCACATTTATTTCCTATTTAAATAACATTAGTTTAACGAGTACTTAGGTTGCTGCAACAGGGAGGGTAAAAAGGTGTTTTTTTGTAAAATGTTAATAGTTTAGTATGAAATAAATGCATTTTCCAAATTTGATCAAAATATGTTCATAAACAAGCAAACTAGAACAGTTTACTTATTCTCCAAAAGAATAACATGGGAATTTTAAATTTACAGTTTTTGGAATTTTCTCCGTAACCATTAGGCGTATAATAATGCTTCAATATACTAAATTATTTGTTTTTTAAGCTCTACAAAATGGTTTAAAAAAAAATGCTAAATTTTAAGTTTTTATGGTCAAAAATGGGAAAAACCAATTTTTACCCCATAAAACCCCCCATAAACCCCTGTTCCCATAGTCCGATCATGCTGGTTCGCGAACTCGTTCGAATAAACGTAGGTTTACACGTTTGTACCAAATTTCATCAAAATTTAATGATTTTTGATCGAGTTATCGCGCTAACGAACACATATATAAATATACATATATATATATTTCTTGATGAAAATGCCAAATGACTTTTATATTCTTGAGGAGATCTTGATAGAGTTTATGGTGAATGAAACATGACACATTTCAAATTTTCGTTTAATACAAAAGTTTTCAAGCAAAGAGAATGAAAAATGTAAAGATGAACAAAACAAATAAATATGAACTGTTTACAAATAGTTGAATTTTGAGAACAATGATTGAGTACAGATCAAAGAAAATAATAAAATTAAAAATTCAGCTGAGTTGAATCACTTTTTTACTATCTTAAATTTAAACCAGAGGGGGACTTTGTTTTCAGTACCAACTGGTGAGCCAATTCAGAATTTCTTAAAACCAGTTGGTTGCTAAAATATATATATATGAATTTGAACCGATGGTGTTTTTAGCCTCTAGGGACCTCAAAACGAAATAGTAAATCGGTCCCGGGTCCAGGTCTTGCCATGAGTACTACGGTAATAGCTTATTCCCTATATGGGAAATTCGCTAAAAAAACATATTGATTTCAGAATACCTAGTTTTTTTTTAACTGCATAATCTTGTAGTTGTTTTAATTCCAATAACATAAGATAAATGTTATTTGTTATAACCTTATTTAGCTACGTAAATCAAATATGAAATAGTATATTTCGTACCTAGGGCCGAAAATAAGGTTTTGCTGGCTCGAGACAGTTTTTAAGTTCGAGACGAAGTCGAGAACTTAAATCGATCGAGAGCTGCAAAACCATTTCGGTCCGTGATACGAACGCTATTTTTCACCACACTATACCCTATTACCACTATTCACCACTATAATAATGCACACTGATAGTCAACACAATACAACTTAAGGTTATGTGAAGAAATCATTTGAGGAATCAGCAAAAATAAAAATAAATAGTTGCTAGGCAACGGTGACCAAAACACAATTCTATTGCAATTCTATGGATTTTGATTGTGTATTTAAAATGCATGTTTTAAGTAAGTAGGCTAAGCGGACAGCTGATTTTGCGGCCCCGGCCTGTAAAAACCTGCTCGGTCCCCAAATTACGATGACAGCTGGCATGGCCAGCAAAACGCAAAACGTAACTTTCAACCACCAATTAACGTATGTAATACAGCCAAAAACATCATAGTGTGGTGAAAAATACTGTACCTATTCGATGTACATGTTAAACATGACACCGACATATCGCATGCTTTATACTGGATATTATAAGCTAATGAATAACCGAAGAGCCGTTTATTTACATAAACCAATTAATAAAATCAATTACAACAATGCATCTTGGCCGATACGTAGCGTAGCTGACCACGGGGGTAGATTTCCGGGGGTAGATTTCCGGGGGTAGATTTCCGGGGGTAGATGTCCGGGGGTAGATGTCCGGGGGTAGATGTCTGGGGGTAGATGTCCGGGGGTAGATGTCCGGGGGTAGATGTCCGGGGGTAGATTTCCAGTCGCGGGCTGTTTCTCGATCGTGTATAGGCCCCGCCCCTCGTGACGTCAAAATTACGTAGGCGTTTTTTCATGGGGGTAAATATCCGGGGGTAGAAATCCGCTACCCCCCAGAGAGCACAGCCTACATGACTGTTTTGACAATTTTTTGATTACTTTGATCATTTATTTTTATTTTTACAGGCAAAGTTAGGGCCATATGGCCCTTTGTAGTAAGTGTCTACAGAAAATGCTACATAACAAGTTAATAAAAATTTTTTTGCAGAAAATATTTCTGTAGAAAGTTGGAAACGAGAATTTTCTGCAGAAAAATTCTCGTTTCTACAAACAGTAACGCAACAAAACGTCATGCATTACATAAACAAAAGCTGCAAAGTCAATATTTGGTGCATTGATTGTGTGGAAGAACGCGTAGAATAACAGACTTAGCAAAGCAATTCAATGCAACAATAGTAGGTGTTTTCAAAATGATCCGAGCATTTAAAAACTTATTCCAAATATTTATTTAAACTATCACACACACGTTTAATTTACACACAGCTTGGACTGGGTAAGCCCACAGAAAATGTTTGGATCTTTCCAAGTCCGTTGTAGAAAGCTTAAAAACGTTCTGCTATATCCAAATTGGGACCAAACGATTATCAAAAATTCAAATCATTGGATTTTTACCAAAATTTAGAGTCTTTTAAAGCAAATAGGCTGAGTCATGCCGAGGTTTTACTATTGTGATCGCAGAATGTGTCTGCAATGATTTCACGATCGGAAAATTTTATACTTAAAAATTTACAGAGAAAAATTACACGATTGTGGAGCGATTATGATTTTCTGACCACGGGAGACGATGATGCAGTGGCGTAACTAGCCTGACTGCACCTCAATGCAAGTATTCCCCGTGCACCACTATTCGTCTAGACTCATTCTCCCCCCCCCCCCACAGTAACCTCCAACGAAACTAACAATGACATTTCTCTGTACTTCCACACTCTCTGGATACTATTTCACTACACACGACATATACAAGCTTTATCCAATTAGAGAAAGATTACCAAAGAAATATAATTTATTATGTACAGTAATTTAATTTTATAGTTAGATGTTAAAAATATGTTTTAAATAGTGATGGTCGGATCCGGAATTTTTCAAGATCCGGATCTGGATCCGGTACCGACATTTTATTGGATCCGCCCATCACTAGTTTTAAACATGAGGTTTAAAAATTTGAAATTATTTCTCTAAGCAATTCGGATAATTGGCAATTTGGATAGTTTGAGTTCGGATAATTGGAGTTTCTACTATAATATATTTTCTGACGAATTGGGCTTTCATAATTAAAGTACTTTACAGAAAAGACACCACATATGTAAAATATAAAGCACCTTACACTTGAGATGCTGAATGACGGGAGCTATACGAGATGTGTTCTCACTGAGGCTGTCTCTTGTTGCTTTATGTAGCATGGACACATTGATCACCTCCTGAAACCAGCAGTACTTGTGAAGAACACTCTCAAACGGGCAATACACAGTTATACATTTTAAATAACATCAAAAGCTTGGGAGTTGACATTCAAACTCCGTTACAACTTAATAAATATTCAAGATGACTTATACAAAAAAAATTTTTATGATTGAGGATTACAAAACCTTTCAAAATATTTACAGCAACATCAATACCAATTGATGGACATTCTGCCTTAATTAGACATTAGAGCTTATCCGTGTCAACTCATAAAACAATTACAAAACTAAACTACTAGTAAACTACATGGATAATTTCTAATCTCATACCTTAGTGCCCTAGATATTTCATTTACAATCCCTTCGGTATTTGAAAAAAACATTTTGGGATGGTAAATAGCTCTTGAAAGCGTTTTGAAATTAATCCAAGATAGCCTCCATGGACTCTTAATGTGCTATATGCATTAACGCATATTCAAAATATAGAAATTTATTTGTGTTAAAACAACAACGAAACAACTTCAAAATCCTTTGTTGACATACAGGCTAAAACATAATTATTATATCCTGTACATACAATCAGCTGATAATATTAAATTAAATGTTCTTTATTTATTATGAATGAAAAAACAAACAAAATAAGACTTCAGTTAGAGTTACTACATCTTTACATTATGAACCTTGTTAAACTTGTTAATAAATAACTGTTCTTAAAGTTGGTGTTTAATATACAATAATGGCGACGACTCAAAGAGAAATAAATCAAGCATTACTGTTATATCTACAAGAGAAGTTTAGTGAAGAAAAGGAACAAAAGATTCGTCCCCCACTTCAAAAGTTGGAACCTTATGATGAAGGTAATGAAACATTTACAACCTACTTACTTAGGCTCACTAACTATCTTGAATTGAATGGATTAGGGGGAGAGGATGATGACAAAACACGTGTGCAGGTGTTAATTAGCTGCCTCAGTCCAAAGAATTTTCAACTCTTAAATGATTTATGCGCCCCAGACTTACCAAATACTAAATCGTATAATGAACTGGTCAAGCTACTCAAAGATTACCTTTGTCCAACACCAAATGAAGTTGCTGAACAACATAAGTTTTACACAGTGTTGGGAAGTAGCGCGCTACAAGTAGCGACGCTACAGTAGCGCGCTACTTTTTTTGTAGCGTTAGCTGTAGCTACGCTACTTTTAAGATTTTGTAGCTTTAGCTGTAGCTAGCTACATTTTTAAAGTAGTTGTAGCGGAATTTTAGCTACTTTTCTCGCTACATTAACATTGTTTGAGATAGTGATTTTTATCATAACCTCAACCTTAACTACGTGAAACAACCTCTTTCAAACTGAGATTTAAAAAAAAAATTAGGCCTTACTTTCTTGGCTTCATACAGCTGGTTGCAGCCGTTTCATTCCCTATTCTATTACAACGTTGTGTGGACATGGAGGCCATTAAATGAGTGTTATCCACATTTTTGGCTCTCATTTCCTTAATTTACTACTCCATGATTACTGTCAGATAAAATAAAATCGGTAGATGCAGACGACGTTTGTACGTTACCGGTGACAAGAGAAGCTATTGAATGCTTGCAAGTGATTGACAGGGAAATTAGTAATCAATTTAGTTTGTTTATTATACCGATAGTGTTTCAACTTGGATTTTAATGGAAACCAACACTTTAAACCTTAAGACGAATACCAAGTTCCAAGTTCAATTATTAGGAATCCTATCTGTTTAGTCCTAGCAAGAACAAGCCTACTATAGCCAACTTGTTACATAGCCAAGTAGGCCTACATGTTATTTTTACTTTACAAATTTCAACATGTTTAAATTAAAAGCCGATTTCAGGATAAGTTACTGGATACTGTTTTCTGTACCAACTAGGTTGAAGCACAATTCGCCCTATGCATAATGACAATAAAGGACGATTTCTTGACATTGAAAAGTGTTATTCATAGTACAAGTAACTTATCACTTAAAAGTTTATAGCAATGTCGTTTTTAACATTAAAAGAAAGGCAATAAACTCCAATTTCAGTAGGCTAGGCTCTGTAACACAAAAAAGTATTTTTAAATAATCGTTTTACAGTTTTATTGGTCTTAATTGTTGATATAAGACATCTATAAATGAATCTATATTAAAGAAATAAAATGAGCTTTTAAAATATAGTTTGGTTGTATGTCCTTTGAACTTAATGAAATTTACATTTAAGATGCATAAAAATAATGCAATATTTAAAAATAAGTACTAAATATGATGGGACACCGAACTATTTGGTTCTGTTGTTGTAATGTTAGGTTTATAATGCCAAAAAATTAAATACAATCTAGGAATAATTTGTTTTCCAATTAATGTTAGATACAATACTGACATTTTTTAATGTTTGTTCAGTAAAAATGTAGTTGCAATTAATTTTACATTTACCTAATGTGCGTGGAATAAAAAGTAACGTCTTTGGAAAAGTAGCTAAAATTGTAGCTGTAGCTACATTTCAATGTAGCTGTAGTTGTAGCTAGCTACTTTTGCGGAACTGTAGCTGTAGCTGTAGCTAAGCTACTTTTTTGGAAATGTAGCAGTAGTTGTAGCTAGCTACATTTTAAAAGTAGCTTCCCCAACACTGGTTTTACACGCGTTCACAACAATCGGGTGAATCTATTTCCACATACATGAAAGAACTTCGTAGCATGACTCTACACTGTAATTTTTCCTGTTCAAAATGCAAATCCAGTACGATTGACACCCACTTACGCACCCAGTTCATTAGAGGGTTGTACAGCAAAGAGATAAGAGAAAGGCTTCTACAAGAAGATTCCTTGACTTTACAAAGGGCGTATGAGTTAGCATTATCTTTCGAGATATCGAAACAAGGTAACAATGATATGTCATCACCAGCTATTGTAAATAAAATCAGTAAAACCACAAAAAACCCATCAAAATCCAACAGCTTTGTATCAATAGATGATTTGAAAGGCAAGTGTTTTAGGTGTGGTAAATCTAACCATAAAGCAAATGAATGCAAGCTACGCAATGCCACTTGTTTTACATGCAATGGTAAGGGTCATACTGCTGCTGTTTGTTTGAAGGCGAGTAAAATGAACAAAGGTAAGGCATTTCAAAAACAAATGGACTCTACGGATAAAGATTATTCCAGTGACAATGAAGAAACATATGGTACAAGTAATTCTTTCACTATCACTGAAGAGCTACAACTCAATTCTTTGTCATCCAAATTCAATGACAAATACTTAGTAACACCGCTTCTAGATGGAGTACAATGCTCAATGGAGTATGATACGGGAGCTGCTGTATCATCTATGTCATTAAGTACCTTCAAACGATTATTCCCACACAAGAAAATTACAGAAGTCCCAAATGTTAAGCTAAAAACCTACACAGGGGAATCGATTAAGTTAACTGGAACAAGTGAAGTTAAAGTTCAGTTAGGTTCAAAAACAATGGTAGGTAGAATTTTTGTTGTACAAAATAATGTTGATAATATATTTGGGCGCGAATGGATTCGTAACTTTGACATATCTATTCATGACATAAATCACATGGCGAGTCCTAGTTCTTACAAGCAAAACACCCTAAAGGAAAATAATATAAAACAAGACATTTTTGACACATATGAATCCCTATTTACAAAAGAAGTAGGAATTGCACCAGATAAACAAGTCAATCTTCCATTAAAGCCTGATTCAAGACCCATTTTTATTAAATACCGTGTCCCTCCTGTTGCATTAAAAACTAAAATAGAAGACGAATTGTGCTTACTGGAAGAAAAGGGCATCATTTCAAAGGTAACCAATTCAGAATGGGGAACACCCATAGTACCTATATTGAAAGAAGATGGAACAGTAAGAATATGTGCTGATTATAAAGTAACTGTAAATTCCCAACTGCAAAATGATCACTATCCTATTCCCAGGATTGAAGAGATATTTGACAAGTTAAATGGAGGACAATACTTTACAACCTTGGACTTACATAAGGCGTATTTACACCTTCAAATGGACGATGATAGTGCCAACCTTCAAGCCATAAGTACCCATATGGGAGTTTTTAAGGTAAATAGACTTATGTTTGGAATAAAAACAGCTCCAAACATATGGCAACGCTACATGGACTCAGTTTTAACTGGACTGGAAGGTACTGCTGTTTTCTTTGATGATATAATAGTTCAAGGAAGGAGTATTGAAGAAACAAAACTACGCACGATCAAGGTGTTGGAACGTTTGAAGGAAAACAACTTGCACATAAACAAGAATAAAAGTAAATTTTTTCAAGAGTCTGTGAACTACTTAGGATACAAAATTGATGGAAAAGGATTGCATAAGAGCCATGATAAGATAGAAGCTGTTTTGAAATGTCCCATACCCACTAACGTTACTGAATTGAAGCAGTTTCTTGGGCTTGTAAACTATTATCACAGGTTTCTACCCAACCTCGCAACTAAGATACATCCATTATATGAACTGCTACATAAGAAGAAAACCTATACATGGACAAAACGATGTAATGATGCTTTTGAGGGCATTAAGAAGGAAATCACAACAGAGAGGGTTCTTACAACATTTTCACCAAACCTACCACTGATACTGGCAACGGACGCTTCCCCTCATGGACTATCTGCTGTTTTATCTCACAAGATGCCGGATGGAACCGAACGACCTATAGCTTTTGCTTCAAGGACATTAAGTAAAGCAGAACAAAATTACAGCCACATTATTAAGGAAGCGACTGCGATCTACTGGGGTGTTCATAAGTTTTTCCATTACTGCTATGGTCGAAAGTTTACACTTATAACCGACAACAAACCATTGTCTTCTATTTTCCATCCCTCAAAATGCCTAACACCCTTAACCGCCACTCAAATGTTACACTACGCTGTATTTCTGTCAGGTTTTGACTACGAAATACAGTATCGTAAAGCATTGAATCATGTCAACGCAGATTTCCTATCAAGGTTTCCTGTTAACAATACATGTGATCATCAAGAAACCTTAGATGAAACAGTATCAGACAAATACCTTTTACAAGTACAACTGAATTCCCTTCCTGTCACAAGTAATGAAGTAAGAAGAGAAACTATGAACGATCCAGAATTAAAGTTGGTATACAATGCCCTAATGACATCCTCTTACATTACGAAGCCTGAACAATGCAAAGGTTTAGAGGGAGAACTGTCAATTGAAAACGGATGTTTATTTAGAGGAGTTCGAGTTGTAATTCCATGTACTTTACGAAAAACTATTCTGAAAGAACTACATGAAGCTCACACAGGCATAACAAAAATGAAAGAACTAGCCAGGCAGTATTGTTGGTGGCCTACAGTGAATTCTGACATAGAAAACTATGTAAATTCATGTAAACCATGTGCATTGAATAAAAACGATCCTCCAAAGTACCATGAACCATGGCCAAACTCCAATATTCCTTGGGAAAGGGTGCACATAGATCATGCAGGACCATTCAGAGGTACATACTTTTTCATAGCAGTAGATTCATATACAAAGTGGATGGAGGTAAAGGAAACAAAAAGTATATCTAGTTTCTCCACTATAAGAATCTTAAGAGAAATGTTTGCAAGATTCGGCATTCCAAGTACAATTGTTAGTGATAATGGTCCTGCGTTCATTTCACATGAATTTAAACATTTTATGGAATCCAATGGTATTCAACATAAACTGATGGCACCATATCACCCAGCTTCAAATGGACAAGGGGAACGTTATGTACAAACTCTAAAAAGGAAACTAAGTGCAATGGCTGAAGAATCTGGAGACATCCATACAAACCTATGTAGATTCCTTCTACAAACCCGTAAAGTTATGAACATAAGCACAGGAAGAAGCCCTGCGGAGATGATGTTCAAACGGAGTATACGTACGAGAATTGATCTGCTAAAGGCGAAAAGGATCTCTGACACAGAAGGCGTTGGTACCTTAAGATGTTTTAGCACTGGCGATAACGTTCAAGTTCGAGACTACAGAAGTAATCATCCTAAATGGAAATTTGGTAAGGTGGTCAAAATATTAGGAAACTGCCATTATGAAGTTGAAGTTGAAGGTTTAATGGTTAAATGCCATGTTGATCAAATGCGCTCTACACTAGTATCTTTAAATGAACAGTCCGATGAAGCCTCAGAGTCTGAGTCACAGAAACATGCACAAGTGGTAAACAAACCAAATGACTCTCCTCAAGCATCACACAGGACGAAGAATTTTTATCCATCATCTGTAATAAGAAGATCTCAGAGAATACTGAAGAGGCAATAAGCTGATTCTTTTCCAGGGAAGATTATTATATCCTGTACATACAATCAGCTGATAATATTAAATTAAATGTTCTTTATTTATTATGAATGAAAAAACAAACAAAATAAGACTTCAGTTAGAGTTACTACATCTTTACATTATGAACCTTGTTAAACTTGTTAATAAATAACTGTTCTTAAAGTTGGTGTTTAATATACAATAATAATAAATATACATGTGGACCTTTAAAGACAAAGAGTTCTACATACTAACACTTTCTCCTAACATATCCGTAATCCTTGAAAGCCAAGACAGGAATACCTACTCAACAACTTTCACAGCATTAATCTGTCTAAAATTAGATTTGCTTAAAAACGTATGGAAACTCAACGTCATATTATTTACTTTAAATTATGAGTTTAAATGAATTAATAAATTACAGAATGTAATAAAAAGTCAAAAACATGTATTCATAACAAAGTTTTAACAGTAGGGTACTTATAGGTTAGGATTGCTTGCCCTAAAAATTCTAAACAGCTTCTGATCACTGTAGACTAACTTGCTGTTGATATGACCCAAGTTCACATATTGGCTGCCATTTTTCTCCACCATATAAAAATTATTGTATTTTTTCCACAAAGCGCAGGGTTAAAATGTAAAATTTCAATGTTAATTTTTTTTTATCAGTGTCACATTCTGATTTTAAGCATCATAACTTGTTACAGATAGATATTATCTTCTGAAGTGTCTTATTTTCTTGGTAACAAAATAACATCACACACTATTTTAGTGGCTTTAAGCATCTTTAAGTAAAAAAAAGTGATAGATTAGAATGCATAGGCATAATACATTACTGACCTTTTACTATTGGAAAGTCTAAGTTATTTTTTGGTTGTCTTGATTAGTTGAATCAACTCCAGATGTACTAGCGCTATCTTTTATACACAGAAACTTGGATGAATTTTAAATCGGTGTCTTTGATGCTCAAAAGTCCATTTTTGTGTTTTGTACACAAAATGTCGTGGTACCTAGAGAGCATCTCTAAATCACTTTTCTTCTTTTAACAATGTGATATAGTTACTGGCATACTATCCCTGGCAACCGACATTCTAAGTGCAGTGCAGTGTATAAGAGGCAAAAGGGTAAAGAACGCAACTGCCAAGTTAAACTCTGGCAATGAACCTGTAACGATGTATTCTACACCCGTTACAGTTTTACGTTTCCGAAGGTCGGTACGTCAAATCAGGAACGTACAGTAGTACCAGACACTCGCGCTCTCTATCTCTCTCTCTCTCTCTCTCTCTCCTCTGCACTCTCTCTCTAACGCACAACCAAACTCTGTCCTTACCGCCAGAGTAGGGACGACAGGAGAGGTAGGGGATCCGCGCCTGCGCACTGGCCACAAGCAGTGGTTTGTAGTTTCATTCGACTCAATACCTCCGAACCGTGCAGTCGTCTCGAGCACGGTAACCTCGCTGGCTTAATAACGGAGCCATAAACCATCTCTGATCTCACGGTAGGCCTAATTAACTAGCACTGAGTGTGACTTTTGCTTTAGTTTCCATTAGAAGCTTCGATTCCTAGTAACGTCGTGTTGCTGCTAAAGCAACCTAGGAATACATTACATTATTTTCGATACGATAACTAATTATCAACTTCACAAATATATTAACTCGTTTCCTCCCAGTATCGTTGTGTTGCCGCTGAGGCAACCTGGGAGTATTTTGTTTTGTGTGGGTTGTTTAACGTCGATATTCTTATTTTATTAACTCGTTTCCTCCCAGTATCGTTGTGTTGCCGCTGAGGCAACCTGGGAGTATTTTGTTTTGTGTGGGTTGTTTAACGTCGATATTCTTATTTTATTAACTCGTTTCCTCCCAGTATCGTTTTGTTGCTGCTGAAGCAACCTGGGTGTATTTTGTTTTGTGTTGTTTAACGTCGATATTTTTATTTTATTAACTCGTTTCCTCCCAGTATCGTTTTGTTGCCGCTGAGGCAACCTGGGTATATTTTATTGTGTGTTGTTTAACGTCGATATTTTATTTTATTAACTCGTTTCCTCCCAGTATCGTTTTGTTGCTGCTGAAGCAACCTGGGTGTATTTTGTTGTGTATTGTTTAACGTTGATATTATTAACTATTAACTCGTTCCATCCCAGTATCGTTTTGTTGCCGCTGAGGCAACCTGGGTGTATTTTGTGGTATGTCGTTTAACGTCGATATTTGTAACAATTAACTCGTTCAATCCCAGTATCGTTTTGTTGCTGCTGAAGCAACCTGGGCTTTTTGTAACGTTTTTGTAAATTTAGTGTTTTATGAGTACGTCCTTTAATACTTAGAATCGTTTTGTTACATAATGAAAAGCATTGGTCTCTAATTAGACAAATATCTACCCCGTATTTCCGTATTTCGACATGATACAGACAATCCAGTAAGTATTCTAAATTCACCCATAGCCGAACCTAAATTTCGTGTACCAAACGCTTTGTAAAACACGTCCCATCCAGTATTTGTGTGTTGCTGTATTTATTTAAGGCAACCTGGAAGAGCTCAATTGGCAATCTAAAACAGTGACAATGATGATAGTGAGATATTACCGAAATTAGGTATCTTGTCTGAGTCACTCAAAATTATTTTCGTATCTGCGATGACGAATCCTGGCACCCACTGAGCCATCCGAAAACCTAAATTAATATGATGACTATTTTTCAATAAAACGGAAAAACATGTCACAAACCGACCTACTATTTCATTCAATAAACTAAAATACATTTGACTGAGTAAAATGGTTGAGTAACCCTAATCCTGCATATTTTGTTGTATTACAATACATGCCATAGAAGATTTTTCCCAAAGTTTTTTTATTTTATTTGTTATTACCAGACTGGGCAGTTGTGATTCCTCCATGTCAAGGTCTATTGATTGTTATATAATTAGTCTAACACTTACTGAAGCTTCTAGTGAAGTGGGAGGTTTCTTCTTACTCTCAGGAGATCGTATGGAATCATGCAGTTCTCCAACAAGGATCCCGGACTCTTCCAGCTCCGCACCAAATATGTAGATCTTGGCTTGTGGTACATGAAACCCTACGGTCCCTGATGATACCTTGAATCAAGAAAAAAGTGAGTTTATAGTTTACAAATATAATAAAAATTGTTTGGAATTTGCATTTGAAAATTTCAAATTGGATGATTTTCACAACAAAGGGCATTGATTTCTCAACATTTTGTTTAAAACCTAAATAGTGTTGAGTCCTGAACATGTTGTGGCCTTTAATTTACATTCCTCCATTGTCAAATTGTTAAAACCATTCATAGACTTAGGTTTAACTGAGGGTAGCATTCTTATGAGCAGCCTTCAGCAATGCAGCTATAGTTTCTGAAACCAACCAATTTTTCGTACAGAAATTTCAAAATTTTTAAGCCTTGGGGTCTGTTGACAATTTTTTATCGAGCTTTAAACGAAATGGGAATTTACTAAAGAAACTTCATGGGTTAAGAGATGCACTCAACTTTGCAAACTGTCTGTGGTAAAAAGTCTGTAATAGACACCTTAGGAGCAAATAATAGGTTCCCTACTCTCCCTCTACACCTCAGCCAAATTCTTGTTACCTATTATTTTAGGTTACTCTTCAATACCTTGTTTTTTATATACTTTTCATACCTGTAGGCCTACAAACCTGTTTCTGCAGGTTGTTGATAGCCTCCTTGATAGCGTTAGGTTCCGCCTCACACACCAGTGGCAGCGTGGTGCGTAGTCTAACATGGACAAAGCGTTGACACACATCAGACTCCGACAGGACCACATGCGGTACCTCTACCAGCTTCTCATTGCAGTAGAAGTAAGCTCGAAGCGCACTCGAGTTGACTGCACGCTTCATCACAAGAGGGTTATCCGTAACCAGCACTTCCTGTAAATGTGGCCTGATAATTATACGATCAGCAAGCTGTAAAACAAATTACTAATACTGTCCAAATTCATTAACCATTAACCAATCATAAATAATAAACCATTAATTTTTTCTGATCTTTGTTAGGATTATAACGGAATATGTATTAGGCCTAGGGGTTTTATCTTCAAATGTATGTATTCTTTTTATTCTGCTGATGTTTAGTACTCTTTAGTAAATAGCAGAGAATGACTAAAAAATTAATAGTTTCATTGACTACTCAAACAATTGTTTCTACACTACAATGGAATGAATGTTTGTTTCTTATTTCAATCAATACATTTAGGTTACTTTCCAGGGGAAACATTAACCCTAGCAGTGGCCAATGTTAGAAGTGGGGAATGGCCAACCCATTTTGGCGATTTTGCAGACCTTTTTTTGAAAATTCGTAAAAATTCAACCGTACAAGTAAACCTAGCCAACCTCATATTCATTTTGTTCGGAAAGAACAGGAGAATCTAGAAATAGCAATATCATAATGATTTAGACAGTGTATTTTATCGATAAAGTGAAAAAATAAAAAAATTTGAATTTTTTTTTTTGAAATTTCAAAAGCGGCCTTGGTATTTTTTTTCTACGGATTTCTTTATGGGAAATTCATTATATACATTTTGTAGAAAATCTAATTCCCTACATAGAAATATATAACATGTTAGGAAAATATTTTTTTTTTATAAGTTTTTGGGGCGAAATATAATGACAAACGGAGAACCGAAAAAATTGAGAACCGTACAGTGTTAGTTTATGTTGTAAAAAGTTCTATAATACATGTGTATACTAATAATGATATATACATGTTTGTAAAGCTAATGAAGTAAGGAATCAAAAAAAGTCATAAAGTTTATGGTAAAAATAATTTTTTACCTATAAACATACGTATATAAAATAATGTTTATATATTTTAGCGATTTCTCGAAAAACAAAATTCACAGTACTTAGTATACAACTTTTGTACCAAATTTTTTTACTTCAAACCAATATAATAATCTTGTAGTGTATTCAATTACCAACATAAAAATGTATAACATGTTAGAAATATTTTTTTGTAGGTACGTAATAGGGACATAATAATACAATAACCGCAAAACCGCAAATAAGTGTAAACTATAGCCTACAGTGTTTGCTTGTGTTGTGAAACATTATGTAGGCTGATGATATGTAGCCTACATATTTGTAAAGCCAATGAAGTAAGGAATCCAAAAAAGTCATAAGTATGATGGTAAAAAGTTATTTTCACCTATGATTATGTAGGCCTACCAATTTGAGAACGTTTTGAATTTTTTGCGCATTTCGAGAAAATGGAGTGTACAGTATTTAGTAGCCTATATAATTTTTTACCAAATTTTTTACACCAAAACCAATATAAACATGTTGTAGTGTATTCATTTACCTTTATAAAAATGTATAACACCTTGGGTAAATCATTATAACCCCTCTGAATGTCAGAATCGTCATTTTTGGACATGATGCTAACAAAATAGCCTACAGTAGTAGGCCTATTTAGTATAGGCTATAACTTTTTTACAAAATTGTTTACCCCCGAACCATTATAAACATGTTGTAGTGTATTCATTTACTTTTATAAAAATGTATAACACCTTGGGTATATCATTATATAGGTACAACAATCTCTGAATGTCAGAATCGTCATTTTAGGACATGATGCTAACAAAATACAACCTTTTATGAACACTATTCCACACAATTCAGTAATATTTATGCATGAAGATAACTGTTATACACACACACAACACTTCACTTACACTAACACTACGAACTAATAACATATTTAGTAATAAATCGCGGATAAAACTATTACGGCAACAACACAAACAAACAATGGCAATACAAGACAGCTGACAGACTGTGGCAGTAATGACTCACTTCCGTCGTCTACATCACTGTCTACATGCGAGCATACAGAAATAACCCTGAGTGCAGGGCTGCCACTCTCTGAATCTAAATTTCTTCCTCTTCAAAATGATATACTATATGACTAGTAATAATAACTTTCACTGTATATAATTCGTATTTTCCATACTGTCACCAGACGACTGTTGGCCATTTGTTAGAAATTTCGAAAACAGCTGTTTTCATAAAATCGTACCGATTGTGCAATCAATATTTAGTTATAAATATCACTACCACAATGAAGATAAAATCAATGGCTATCCAGTGGTATCACCCGCAACATCCCAAGACGAAAATTACCCGAGCAGGGTAATGCCAAACAAGACGTGTTTTGCCAGTTCCCAAGTGTCGGCTGCAAAAGTCGTACCGCGCCAAAATTTCATTTGATTTCTAATCGTCGTGACATTGTTATATACCTGCTACAGGGTTTGTTTATGTAATCAAATGAAAGTTCAGAATGTGATCTTTCGAATGGTATATATATTATTCTAATCTGAGTTGATTGTAAGTGTTTTGTTTACCGTTAAAAAAATTTCGGCCCATACCGTAACCAGACGACTTTGGCCATTCTAAGCATCAACGTCATACCGTAACCAGACGACGGTTGGCCACTGCTAGGGTTAAATGGTACATTTTTATGTGGTCTCTAGCACTAGTAGCTGGTGTGGTGCCTAGGGCAAAGTCCAACACCATACCTCTTGTCCTAATGTACTAAAACGCTCACAGTGCTCGCTGCTCAGTCCCTTCCTTGCTCGTCGCAAGTATATTTCCAGCACAACATACTAGAGCTGAAAGAACACAGTTTAGGTAACCTATAAGCATGTTTCCTCTAGGTACCTTACTTCTCTTGTGGTCAAACAACACTTAAGTCGCTTTCTTATCTTAATTAGGTATAATTTATTCTTGTTATTTGTCAGCGCAACAGCTTAACCTTAGTGTGGTAAGAATGGTACATAAAAAAATAGGCCTAACTTAATATCTAAAATTAGTTGTTCTTTTTTGGGAAACTAGTTAAAATAATAGTTACTACTATTCAAATAGTGTTACACAGTCATTAAATTTAGGACAATGAATATACAAAACATAGGCTACATAGCACTAATAATAAAGAACAGACTCATCTTTAAGACTAAAACAAACAATTCTGATGATCAAATTCACCTTTCTCTAATTTAAATGATTTTTTTTTTATAAAAATGAATGAATGGACAAATTTAATTAATTAATTTAAATATGTACAAATTTAGTTGTGTTACCTTCAGGACATCTAGGGTATCAGGAGACAATTGTGTGTCATCAGTTTCGTCTGTGAAGGTAACTGTGCCGCAGAAGTCTATCTTGGTGGGAAAGTGAGTCTGTAGCTCGATGTAAGGATCTGCTCCGATATGAGATGGACTAACACTGAGTCCCAGGATGAGCAATGTGTTATCGTACATTGTTCCATACACAGCTCCCTCTTTACCATCCCTCGCTTCACTCAATCGCTGACAAACAACATTTCATAAAATTTACAAGGATAAACTTAAACCATGTAGCCTACTTATCTTTTGTAAAACGGGTGGCTAAGTTAGTTAAGTTTAGTTTAACATTATTTTAATATTTTTGCCAATTGTTGAGGGCTGGAGCATGGATTGATGGATAAGACAAACTAGCACTATTTTGTTTGTGTATACAGTATACAATGTCATTTGCCCAAATAAACGCTTGTGTTTGAAATTAGTTCAAACTTCTTGATCTGTAAGGATTAACCAGAGTTCACACCAAAGTCTGAGACATAAAATAACTAAGTTAAGCCACAAAGAGTTAGTAAACATTTAAAATCATCAAGTAACTTAATTCATATCTTTTGAGCCTATGCTCAAAATCTGTCGAAATGCATTACAAAGTCCATTACATCCATGCATTACAACCACCTACCCCTCAGCTCCCCATCCCTCACATCAGTCACAACACACACACACATACCACAAACACACAACACTAACACATCGACGCTCGCTGGTCTGACCCATCGATATACAACTTGTCTGACCTTGACTAACTGCGTATGTTGTGCACTAGTGTAGTTGACAACAGTTCATACTTCATTATACTCGTAATCAGTGGTTCAGGACACGAAATGTGGTTGCGGTGCTGTTTCTTTGCGTGTTACTAGCAATAGTATTTTCGTGTTTTGAATAATCCCACTTGTACATAATTTACTACCTTAAGTGTTTTTTGTAAACCTGAATGATTTCGTTTTCAAATAAACCAGCCTATTTGTCTTTGAAAATAAGTAGGCTACTGTATTCAATTATATACCACATATATCTAGTCCTTAATACTTTGAACTTGAGGTTAAGCATTTCAAGATCTAAATAGTATTAATGTATTGTACCAATGGACACACCACACATTTTTTAAGAAGATTTGTAAGGAATTAGTTTCAGTCCAATTGAGGGGTGGGGGGGTGCCAAAATAGGTGTTTGCCCCGGGTGCTGAATAGCCTAGTTACGTCCCTGCAAGTCATGAGCTCTACGTGTTCCGTGGTTGTGGTGGCTACTTCTGCTATTAAAGCTGGTCAGGTTCTTTTTAACAGTAATAGGCTGTTCAGGACATACTGGCTGACAACGGTGAGGATACCCAATTCTTTAAAAAAGGGTCGGCAGTGTTCTCCTGGGCCTGGAGATGTTATGACTTGCAAGGCTTTCTTTAGCAGCAGTAAGTTCCATACATTAAATGACTATGGAACAAAGAATTGTAGATGGTAATCAAGTAGTTTTTGGTAATAACTTCTCTAAGCTTCCCGAGAAGGTAGATAGAGGACTCTTGACAACTTGACACAAACCTTGTCTGTGAGGATGTTCCAGCCTAACCTAGGGTCAATCCAGAAACCTAATAGCTTTACAGCCTCGTCCTGTTCTATCCTCGATCGCAGAGTGCAGATTAGGGATTGGGTTTTGGCCTCCTTGTCATACACTGATCCATCACTAATATTTAGGTTAAAATAGGCATCTAATTAGGCATGTGGTGACCCCATCTCAATTGATAATGATTGTGAAATGATTGATGACATACAACATGGACTTTTGGAGATATCAAATATCAGGTGAGGATTTTAATATCAAGTAACAGTTTAAACAAACGTTTAGTTCAAACAGTTATTATAACTTTACAATACAAAAATAGCTACAAATTCAAAATTTTACCATCTTTGTAACTTATTTAATTCTAAATGTTCGGAACCAAGATATTTAGAACCATAACTTACAGTTATGACACTCTGAGAAATTTGTAGTTTCGGTAGCATCTTTCTGTTTCACTTAAAAAATAAGATAAAATATACTTAAAATAAAAAGGAAGTTATAAATCAAAACTTATTTATTTAATGTATTCAGCATGACAGAAAGAATACATCCTAAACTTGACACTTGGACAACACCTGATGCTACAACAAGTACAACTTAGAAGTAAGTCGTGGTCGTGGACATAGAGACTACCAAAATAATATTGAAGAATGAAGATTGAACTAATCTGCCACTTAGTTTCTATTTGACACACTTCTTACTTCTTACTCTTAGTTCTTGGCGATTACCGTTTACACCAGCACCAAAATCTATTCCAAATGGACTAGATTGAGTAAGGAAGAGAAATTTACTTTGATATTGACTTTGATAGCAAAAAAAGAAAAAACCGTATTAAAAATAGGTATTTACCTTCGTCTACAGCTCAGTCTGTTGTCTGTTGTAACTTGAGTTACGGCCGTTTCGGCATTATAATGTCATCGTCAGACGTTGAACATTCGGCTGAAGTAGCGTCGTCATAGTTGAAACACACTAATAACATAACATTTTAAAAATGTTATAACACATAACACGAACACGAATAACATTTTTAAAATGTTATTCGTGTTCGTGTTATGTGTTTCAACTATGACGACGCTACTTCAGCCGAATGTTCAACGTCTGAAGATGGCATTATAATGCCGAAACGGCTGTAACTCAAGTTACAACAGTTTGAGCTGTAGACGAAGGTAAATATCTATTTTTAATTAATATCACAGCTCAGGGGCTAAAAATGGATTTTAAAAAGCAGTAGCCTACAAATCTGAGTTACTACGTGAGTATGGTTTTACTAGTGTTATATAGTCAATGGTTTTACCTATACTACGTTATATCACTAGACAAGCTGGGAGATATTTAAAATAGGCCAAACCGATAAACAAGTTCATATATTATTCATTCACCATTACCACGCCAAACCAATGTAAGTTACGTACTCTAAAGGTGGCCGTGCTACTATCACGGCCGCCTTTAACTACAGGCCGTGGCCTGGTAGAATTGGCAACGTCGAAAGTGGTGTTGGCGAGTGCCACTGAGCTAAAATTATAACTATAAATAATTAAAGAAATTATAATAATTTATTATTATAGATTTATAATAATTTAGAATTATAGCTCAGTGGCTAGCGCCAGACATCCCATAAGATAACATGGCAGACAGGTGACACCAGCTCATTATTTCGCGTATTATTCATTAAAATTAAAATTTATGAACATAAATTTATTGAAAGATCCAAAATAAAACATTTAGAATTAAAAGCAATATACGAATAGAACATCAATTTTTGTACTTTTAAAATGGAGTCAATATTGTCATAGTCCAGTAACCAAGCATTCTCAAATACACAACCACTGAGCTAAAATTATAACTGGAGGTAGCACCGCCATGGCAGAAGTCGCTGAACCAAGAAAAAGCGTGTCGCTGATTTTGTTAGGTTGGTATAGCAGTGGGTTTTCTTGTCATTGCAATAACTAACATGGCTTCTTATGGCACCCGGCTCACTCAAACATGGTGGCTGGCGACACGCATCTTTGACATTCAGTGCTACCTCCAGTTAGATTTTTAGGTCAGTGTACGAGTGAAAATTTAAAAACGTACGTTTTCATGTCCCTGGCCTTTTACTTCGTAGATACTGGATTTGTAGTTTATTATTATGTGTTTTAATATTTTTTGGGACGGGGGCAACATGTTACACACATTTATTTGGTTTTAAATAGGTTCTAGGTATTTTTTTCGTATTTTTAAAGTCTCGAAATTCACGACCATGACGTGTCCCTAGGGTACATTTTCCAACTTTCACGCTGTTTTTAGACTAATTATTCATGCCAAAATATATAAAGCCATATTTTTATGTCATCAATGGTTATTAAACTTACAAAAAAGGAGCATATTATAATTTTATTGTCATTAAAAACTGACTACCATGACAAAATAAGTCTGTCCCTCGATTTGGCGTCACGACCATTTGGGAAAAATTTTCAACTTTGGAGCACGACAGTGGCAAGCCTGGCGTCAATGGAGTCAGTTGGTTTTAGAGACTAGTTCGGGGTGTACGTCAGGATTGTAGTGCCGGTCGTTTCGAGTTGAAAGGAGGAATTACAAGATTAATAAAGGAAAGATTGTGTTTTTTGTAATTTTGGTGTGTCCATGACCGTACGTAGTCATTCGATGAAGTAGACATGGTGTTAATTTTTGTTTATAAGATATTTCAATTGCTAGATTAACCTAGAAGTCCACTTTGTATCCTCGAACATGAGGTGCAGGGCTACCGCCAGAACAGAGCCAAATAACACGTTATTTCACGACCAAAGTTTCACGACCATCGCGGGTTTTTACACGACCAATCCAGCCTTATGGATTATAATGTGTTTGGTCGTGACAATAACTTTAATATAATTGTAAATTGAACAGTTTAGTTCAATTGAAACACATATTTTTATTATAACTAACAGGATAATTGAAGGATTGTTTAGAAAGATTTAGATTATTCCAGACAATTCACGACCGTACCGCTTGTCCCTGACCATCACGTTTATGATTTCTATCATAAAAATTTAAAAAATTAAAATATCGTCATATTTTAATGTTTTATACACAAAAGAAGCACACCTCTATACAAACATAACGATTTTTCGGGTCTCAGGTAAGTTTTTTCGGAGTTATACAAACTTAAAAAGATTTTATTGGTTTTTTTTCAATTTTTTGAGTTTTATTATTTTTTTCTAGAAAGACCAAATATACCAAAAGCTCAGTGACCTTTTTATTGTATAATGGTCATAAAAGTAAATTAGTTTATAGCAAAACATAGCTATAAAAATAATATTAACTATTTTTAATATTAATTTAAACGTCCGTTATGGTCGTGACAGGATTTTGTGTTTTTCCACTAAAGATGCTCTTTTAAAAAGAAACTACCAAAGATATTGCGTTACCATGGACATTTTATGAAACTTCAAATGTTAATGAAATAAAAAAAATAATAAAAGTTTTGAAAAAAGGGGAAAAAAATTTGCAAAGTGCTTTTCCTGAAAACGTACGTTTTTAAATTTTCACTCGTACACAAATACCATTAGATGCTGTCAAACTAAACAGCTGTTACAACACCACTTGCGACGTTGCCACTTCGAAGGCCGCGGCCTGGAGTTAAAGGCGCCGTGGCTACTATATTGTCCAGCGGTGCCATAGTGTCTCTACTCTACACCTTCTCCAATTTTATTTGAGAAACAGTTATGTTTATTTGCGAGGTAGGTTACCGGTACCTTTCATCAGTTGTTAATTCCGGAAACATATGAATAACTAAAGAAGAACTAACGGTTGATGTATAGACACAAGCATTCTTCGTCAGAAAACGGTACCCGCTGGAAGTTTATAATTGTGAAGTTAGCGTACCCACTTTTTATGCATCGTAGTTTTATTTTTATTTTTCGATATTCAGCAATAATATTGGAGAACTATCGAGAACTAACGTTTGGTTAATAGATGTAAGCATTTTTCATCAGAAAATGGTCGCGCTAGAAACTGGAAGTGTGAAGTTAGCGTACCCACTTATTATCGCCTATAACTTTTTTGAGAACGAACGAAAATATCGGGCAACTATCGAGAACTAACGATTGGTATGAACAAAAGTAGATACGCTAAGATGGGTACGCTAACTTCACGGACCTAAGTAATGGCTCTAAAATACAATTAACTTGTCAAATAAATGTGGAAAAGGTGTAGTACTTTGGTAGTGTCATAGATCCCCTGAGGGAGTGTGTATAATCTATGGTAGTACCTATGGTAGTACCTTCCACACCAATTGACCAATGACCCAACGACAACGACTAACGAGCGAAACGAGAACACCTGAACCGACCGAACTGAAAGAAAAAAGTGTTGTCGTCGTAAGCGTATCATCGGATCATGATCGATCATATGGACGGTTGCCAGGTTGCCGGTTGGTGTGTAAACAACGTGGTTCTAAGTTCTAACCTTATTAATTCCATTAATGTATTTCAAGATGTTTAGATGTTTAATTGCTTACAGAAGAGTGACAACAAAATAATTTTAATACTAGACTAACGTTATCATCAGATAACCAGCTTCGTTTTTCCATAGAGTAAGTCAGTTTAATTATTTCTGCTCATAAGTTACTTACACCAAGATAAGATTAGGTTAGGTTGCCCACATGTGAGTTGTCAGGTTTAATTTGCCAAAATTTTGCTGTAATCCGTTTGTTTTGGTAAAGTTAATGAAATTCTATTCGGGTACAGTTTCTTAACTGGGCTATGCTAATATCGATTGAAACTATTGATTCGATTAGTAAACCTTCATGCGATTTTTTCACCATCAGCAAGTTTGCTTGGTTAGGTTAGGTTATGATAGTTTAATTTTATAATAGACTAGCTGTAACCCGCGGGCTCGTTTGCATGGCTCAATCACGTCCTGGTTGAAGTTTGTTCGCTACGCTCACTCACCTTCAGGTTGGACCTCGTTCTCTACACTCACTCACCTTTAGGTTGGAGCTTGTTCGCTGCGCTCACTTGCCATCAGGTTAGCTCGTTCACTACGCTAACTCGCCTCCAGGTTGAAGTTCGTTCGCTATGCTCACTCACCTTTTGGTTGCAAATTAGCTGTTGTCATAAATGTAAAAGAAATAATAGTGCTGCACCCTGTTGGTAATCTTTGTAACTTTAATGCTATTGAACATCATAGAACAGAACCAACTTGTTTAATTGAAACAGCTGTTAAGATTCATTAATTCCATTTCTCATAAGGTTAACATGGGGAACTCCAGAGCCACTGGGGCGGAGCCGATTGGACGGATCACGAAATTGATGGTGTATAAACCTATTTCATGAAATTCTACACGTATGTACCAAGTTTCGTGGCAATCGGTTCAGCGGTGTCTGAGTTTATCACTGCCAAACATATATACAAACATCCTCTTTTATACTGATTATTAAATCAATATTTTCAATTTGATAGTTTCAATCGATATTAGCATAGCCCAGTTAAGAAACTGTACCCTTCTATTCTTATGTTTTTATTCACTATACTGAAGAGTAATACCATTGACTATATAACCACAACTGGTTATGGTGTTGTGGTTATATAGTCAATGGTAATACTAAGCAAAGCAGGTTTACGTTAAGTGCGCCCAACGTGTGAGTTAAGGTTGATGGCAAGAAGTAAGTTAGGACTTAGCCTTAAGTTTGATGCCTCTAGAGTCTAGAACTTAACCAGTTTTACATTTTATTTTGAACACCAATCTCACCACAGTCAATTTCATCAAATCTCCACGTGTGTGGTTTTTTACCTACCTACCTAATGTTCCCTTAATTTAGGAATTAACTTATATAATCGTAGCGTCTAATTGGAGGGATACATCCCGAATGACCTACTGCCGAGACCTGGGCTGCACTTAAGTTTACCTCCCACATTCATTCGTTTGAAATTTTCGATTAAAACTATCAATATTGTTTATTTCATTTGATTGTTCAATCCATTATTTTATCGATTTTACTTTGTTATTTTTAACTAGGTGAAACCCGTCGAAATCGACGGTTACTTTCAAGGCTTACGTTAATTCATCCAGCTGCGATAAATTGGGTGAAATATACATATTTTGAGCATTTAGCATTGTTTAAAGAGTAATACAGTAAGTGTAAAAACAATAATGATATTAATTGCGTTAGTTGCCAAATTTGGTTGATCATTCAATGATTAAAATATTTCCTATACTGTCCGTCATTGGAGTTATTATTAGTATGTTATATGGTATCTCTTCTTCCTTTGGAAGAACATTTAAATAGTATTAAAATCATATCGGTGGATCTTTTGTAGTTAAACACTTCCGTGATTTCATCAGTGTAATATGATTTTATTTTAAAAGAAAATATTTTTTGGGAAGACACATTCTAACTTCAAAAAGAGGTGTACCGTATCCGTTACAGTGTAAGTTTGATTTTTCCTTCGTCACGTCGCGTCAGTTCATATCGTACTTCTGTGCCAATGAATGACCCCTCTAGCATAGTTTTTTGAGAAATTGATTGTGGAATTACTGTACTGAAAAGCTGGAACTCCTTGACATGGGGGATGTCAGTTAGTTGTCTCAGCCATATTAATAACATAAAGTCGTCAATATAATCTCTCTACGGAATGTTAAGTGTAGAGGAATACTTGACGTGAAGTTGGCTTTTATTCTTGAACTGTTAGGGACCTCTTAGTTCATATGGTCTCGGCGGCTTCATTGGCAACAAATAATGCATATGACATAGCAATGGGACATTACTAAAAAGCAAAAATACTGTAAATTGGCTGTTACGTATATATATATTGACGTTTACATATTGTTAATCAACGTATCTTATAAAGGACTATGTGATCTAGGCCTAGTTTAATAGGAACTAGTGTACATGTTGCTCGATTTCGAGCAATTGCAAAGTATTACATGAGTTATTTCAAAACGAATAGCATTCATTTTAAAAGAATCAACTCAAAGATTATCGGTGTGTAACTCAGACCATGTTTATCTTCGTTATTGTTAACCTAAAGCATTCCGGCCGGTTTTCTCCTTCTCAAAATGCCTCGCTGTACAGGCAACACAGGTCATTGATAGAGGGCCAATTGAGGACGAAAAGTCGTTTTGGGGTAGTGTTAGGGCGCATTTGTAACTTATGGTTGAGGTTGTCCAGGGTCAGGTGCTGACTGTGATGAGTTAAGCCATAGACAAAAAGAATTCTTTTTGTCTATCGTTAAGCCTATTACCCCTACCCGCCACTGTTCTGCGGTCGTTATCACGATTACACGATGTTTCGTTGTCGCGTCGGAGGCATTTAAAAGAAAAAAACAAGTTCCAAATAAAATAAAATCCAATGAAGTTTCCAATTAAATATTTAGATTCCCCCATGTTAATCTTATGGGAGAAACTCCAAATTAGATGGCCTGTGGGGCAAAGCCCGAGGACTTTTATTACAGGAATTGTAGAAAGGGGGCGTCTACACAAAAAATACTTTATTTTGACACGTCGTTTGTAAAAATCCGTCCATTATTAACGGAGGAGTAGTGTTTTGTAGAAATCGCCTTCACGTATTATATATAAGGATTGTTTAACTTACTGTTTTGTTATTGTTTAGGGCCTATATTGAAGTAGCCTATTTTTGACAAAAGTTAAGTAGCTTATTGTAAAATGAACTACCGGTACCGTGAAATTTTGTCAACATGTTTAACTAAACACCTAAGTTATCTAAGTACAGTAGAACTCCAATTATCCGAACTCGAATTAACCGAATCTCCAATTATCCGAATTGCTTATTTCAACAATTTTAAAAACGTAAAGCTACAGTAATAAGTTTTGCAAAATATCAAAGAATTGTTATTAAACACATTTAGCCAATTTTGGACTTTGATGGAACACTATTGACTTAATAACATGTATAGAACACTTGTACTATGAGCATTGTAAACTGTAAAAATGTTCTGATTTAAATTATTATTAATTAAAAGTTTACTTAGTACCAAAAATGAGGATTTTTCTTTAAAATTCCCGGAATTCCGGTAAAACTCCGATTATCCGAATTTTTGATTATCCGAATGGGGTCTGGTCCCTATTGATTCGGATAATCGGAGTTCTACTGTACCGTATATCAGTTTTATAGGCCTAGGCCTACCTAGTCAACATTGCTAGTTAAATTGTTTGATATTGCCTAAGTATTTATTAATCTCTGTTTTGTTTAGTTTGAATTTATTAAATAATCGTTAATCTTCTGTTAATCATGAAATTTTTATTTGTAAATACTATTACATTACATAACATAGTAAACATAATAACTTCTTGATCAGCATCGTCCACGTTTTATTAAATTAACCTGAAAAAAAATAAAAAAGATATAACTTACGTCTAATAACACTAGTACCTAATAATATATTTACACTTATACTGTTGACTCACAAGACGGTAAATACATATGAAAGTTGGTAAGTGGTGATCGATTTCGATTGGACACTCCAATCATCATCAGACCCAATAGGCGAATGACAAGAATCAAATATGGCGTCCCTTATATACTATTGGCCAATTTTGTTCTAGGATCATTAGGCAAAGTCTTCATTCTGAAATGGAGTTTGGAAAGGAAATTGCGGTCACCAGTTGCCTAAACGATGCTGTAAGTTTCCTAGTTATTCACTGGAAGATTTCCTAACAAATATATAATTATTTTTAAGTATTCAATATGTTGGTTGTTGTTGTTGTTGTTACTAGATTTTAGTTTTATGACAAATCACCTGTTAATCACTGACGTAACGTGAAGATGATAAATAAATAGTAGATCTAGCTAGTATTTCTATGTTTTGCCATACAAAAACTGAATATCCAAACTATCCTAGAGCTTATGAAGTACCGGTCGGTAGGTATATGAAATGATGAATTACTTAACATCAAACTACTTGCACACCAATGGCATTTTATGGAAAAGAAATACAATCAAGAATGGGAGATGGTTGAAACTCCTTAGAGTTTTGTAGATGTTAAGTCATTCCTGTATTAAAGTCAGAAAACACTCTAAAAACGAACTAGACTAATAAATATATACTCTAGAGAAACTCAACATGGGCCTAACACTGCAGCAAAATTTACCTAGCCTACAAATGTTGCTGTGTGAAATGTGTTCAAGCAATTTGCTTAGTTAATTACCGGACTCGAAAACAAGTCTATTTCCTTTGACATTCTGTGTTTCAATTTTATTATTGGAATCATTGTCAATAACCAAAAAGACATAGATAAATATTTCCACATTTTTAAGGTCGTGAGTGTGTACGCGTGGGATGTGCACACTGGGGCTACTCTAACAACATATCGTGGTGACTGCGCGGTGGTACCGCTGGGTTTGAGTCTGCTGTCCGAGCAGTATGTCGTAGCAGCACTGCAGGACAAGCCATTCCTGCGAGTCTGGCCAGTCAACAGTCAGCATTGCCTCGGCTCTGTTAGACTGGTATGCCCTGGTAGAGTTACCCATGCTCAGACCAGCCCTGACGGATGTTACATCGCTCTTACTGTAGCAGACAAACTCCATGTCTATCAGGTAACGTCTCCTTTGGTTGATTAGGTTGTCTATGTATTTTCAATATTTGTAAATAGATTAGCCAACGTTATTCATAACAAACAAATTTTCTGACTTGACAATTTTGTTTCTTTCTGTTAGATGTAAGATTTTTGTTCAAAAGTGGTCACTTAATAAGAAGCTTCCTTGTGAGAAACCTTCCCTACGATCGAAAACCATACCGGTACTATATTAGTTTCCATACTGATAATCTTTTCCATCCTTACCTACAGTAAAAACTCGCTAATCTGACATGTTTGATGCTTCGGCAGTTCCAGATTACAGAAAATGTTGGATTAATGACGGCATAGCCTCCTCTACTACAAGGCCGTGGCGAGACAAAACTGGCAGACCTGGCATACTGAAACAGCAGTTTCACTAATATATAATGGATCATATGCGCAATGTTTTTATATTTACAAGTTTGTTATTCCTAGTCCTGTAATTACCATGGCAGTAGGCATGCTGGGGAAACTTCACCACACACTAATGCCGCGGCCTTGTTTTAGAGGAGGTCAAGATGACAGCTATCTAGTGTTAGCAGATATACATATGGCTTTAAAAAGAGGAATTATAGATATTAAAGGTATCAGTTAATCTTTTTGTGTTAAATGGTGATTTTTCAGCCCTCCTGACTTCACGGATTGCCCTTGAACTTTTTGTTCCTGTGTAAAAAATAAAAAAAAGCCCAATACCGTATTATTGAATATACTGAATTATTGGATGACGGAATTGTGGGGCTTTACTAGTACTGTTTCATAAATAAACTTTGTCAACTTAATAGTACATCCTTGAACCCCTCTTAAGTTCTATACATACAAAGGGATATGCTTTTATAAAATTATTCTTTTAAACAAGATTTGTATGCTATCACACCACTCTTGTGTTGTAGGTAGCCAGTGGTAGACTGATAGGCTCAGGAGCCCGGCACTTCCAGTCTATCAAGGTAGTGAGATGGTCGAGAGATGCTACAGAGGTGGTGTGTGGAGGGGAGGACGGACTTGTCACTGTTTGGCCTCTGTCAGCCTTCACCTCGGCCTCTACACAGCCTCGCCTAGTGCTCAGCGACCATACTCTGGCTGTCACAGACCTCACGACCACCAACGGCAGTCGGCCCAGGCTGGTGACAGTCTCGGCTGATCACACTTGCAAGGTTGGTACACCAGATTTATGGACAAGATAGTCCTGACAATATGAAATTAAAATGCTATCTACTAAACTGGTTTTCTCAGGATTTTGGATACAGTGCAGATTACCTAAGATGCCGGAAAAGAAATTTCGGAGTCCTATCATATATAAAAGTAGGTACTGTAGTTGATCTTGTGAAGAAGCACAATCGGGTTTATACTCAAAAGGACTATTACTATAGCCTAAGTATCAAGGAATTCTTTGTTGGTTTGTTTGAAATATTTTCTGTTAATTTTTACTAATTAGCCATGCTAAATATTCATGATTCTGTATTTTTGACAGCTAATGATCAGCTACAGCCCTATCTGTCTAGAAAAGTGAAATAAATATTCTATTTAGGTTATGAAACATATGCATTTGGAGATTAACCTCAACCTCTTAGACTAGACCTTAGTGATATTTTTTAATTTGACTTAAATGTTAATTTTAGGATAAGAAACATTTGTTTGATAGAAAGTTGGTAGTTCTTGAGTGTTACAAAACATCCATCACATCATGCCTGTTACATCATAGAACATACAAAGACAGAAGTGATTAACTATGCAATGTTTGTTTCAGATCTATGACTTGAGGGAGGGATCACTCCTGCTGTCCGTGGTGTTTGACAAGACACTGACCGCAGTAGCTGCCTCTGCGCTGGAGACTGAGGTGTTTGTAGGGACAGAGAGTGGCGCCATCCTGCGGTTCAGTTTGTTGTCTCCCCCACGCCAACTGGAGTACCACATGGGAGCCGAGGAAGCTGCGCCGGTGTACACAGGTCACACCAAGGCTGTGCGTAGTCTCAATGTGTCGTCTGCTGGCACACTGCTCATGTCTGGGTCAGCTGACGGGACAGTCAAGCTGTGGCCAATCGGAGGGAAGAGCCAACAGTGCATCCGGACATTCACACACAAAGGCCCTGTCACCAATGCGTTCTTTGCTCCAAAACCGAGGCAGATGTTTGACAACGAACTGAAGCCGACTGTTGTGTTGAACTCGTTTCAGACGGCCAACAGTGATAAATCAGACTGTATCGAGGTGATTACTACGCGAAGGTTGACTTTGTGTGATGATGAAACTTACGAGTATTCACTACCCGGAGTTACTTCATCTGTGGGAACAAGCTCTGTGTGTGATGAAACAGTTAAGTCATTGCAAACGGAAATCGATCTTCTGAAGTCGGTTAATTTGAATCTTTACAAGTTTACTGTTGATAAGATAATATCTGGAAATACATTCAAACCTCATGTTCCTAAAGTAGTCAAAGTTGAACCGCTAAAAGTGAAAAGTAAATCCAAGAAAAATAAAAAGAAGAATGCAAAGAAACCTGTTGTACAACCAACTGATCCAAGTATTAATCATAATTCCATCATTGTACCTATGAACGATGAACCGACTCCGAAGAAAAAAAATAAAAGGAAAAATAGGTATAAAAATTTTAACAAGTCTGATTAAAACTAATTAGTTATTAATAAAACCTAAAGAGAAAACAGTTTAAGTCAAAGGGATATCATTCAAACTACCTAGCACAGAGAAGTAAGGAACAGAGGAAACACGCTTATAGGACGACTGTGCTCTGGTATGTAGTGCCGGAAATATACTTGTGACGAGCGAGGGAGAGACCAAACGGTGAAGCTGTGAGGAAATTCCTATCACTCAGGGCACAGGGTCTTCCTTCACCATGAGCCTTGTGGTGAACATGAGGTCGGGGGTGGTGTGGTTTGGACCACCAGCACTAGTGATGGACTCCACTTATATGTACCATGGAGTGTATCCTCTGTTCATTACTTCTCAGTGTACCCAGAAATAAAATTTATTACAGTAGAGCCCCGTTAGTTCGAAATGGTTGGGACCGGACCCATTTCGGATTACCGGTACCAAATATTTAGGATAAAACTTTTTTTTTTAATTTTTAAAAATAAAAAAAATATTTTTGACTCAGGACGCTAGGCACGAGCCTGGGATTGTTTTTCACATTACTTTAAGCTAGACTTAGGGGTTGCAGCATTATCACTTAAATAAAATCCATTTGTGATTTGGCGGGATTGGAACCCGGGACGAAAATGAAAAAAATGTTAATTAAAAAACAACAAAAAGGCGAAATATTTACTAAAAATACTCTATAAAACAAGTCTATCTCGCCCGGCCGCTACAGAATGCTTTGACCAGGTACAGCTAACTGTGTTAAAATTTTAATAATCAACAAAATTTTTTGTTTGTTTGTCTTTCGGATTACCGGCTCACTCACTTCAACCAGGACGTGATTGAGCCATGCGAACGAGATCATCTTGAAAATTAAGAAGTTAAACGGGGCAAAGCCCGCGGGATTATAAATAGTCAAAGGCAAGACAACGTCTGCCGGGTTCAGCTAGTGTTTAATATATTATTCAGAGCTTTGAATGTCCAATGGTGCGAGATGAAAGAGCTTTTATTTTAAACTGGTATTGGTATTAAGAATACCGTCGTTTAGGCTTTTTTATGTTTAAAGTTCTGTCCAATTTTATTTTTTATATTTGATTATATCTAGTGTAGGCATCAAATAGCGTAATCAAGATCAATTCAATACTTACTTACTGCCGTGGCTCCACAAATCTCAGTTGATTCTTCGCCTCGTGTACCAGCCTCTTCCATGATCAATTCAGTAATCTCTGCTTGATATTTATTATTGTGATATGACTAAGGGGCTAAAACTTATGCCAGTCATGTAGGTGGCTGCTTGAGCCAAATTATGCAAAAGAAAGGGAGTTTACCATATATATTGAAACTAGGTGTAATATTTCTGACTGCTTAGTAGATTGCCCAAATGTTTATCCCATCATTAGCTTGACATGTCTCCAGACCCCCCTGAGTATGAACTCTGTTACAAACATATATTGTATAGTTTAAACTACGGTATACACTGTTTTTTACCAGCAGCATATAAAGTTTTATCATATTGTTTTTACTAATGTGAAATAAATAAAGTTGTTAAATTTTTTCACAATTTGTTTGTTTTAATGCCCTGTACTCTGTAGTAAACATTCCGCTATCATCCCTCCTACCTGCAATTTTATGTTTTTAATTGTGTTACGAGGGAACCCATGTGCAAATTGCACATTTTAATAAGGTTTAAAACTTAGTTCCAAGGTAATGTGGAGCTCAACATCCACAGCCAACTCAATGTCCTGCCAAGAGATAACAATAATAGCTTAAAGTTCAAGCCATCAACCAATCCAAGACGTTGTCTCAGAGTCACTGTGTTGCTACAGAAGAGTTTGTCACAAAAATATACACACAAATATAAAAAAAAAAGTGTGCGACGGGAACGACGCTGCCCGCACAGCGAAACGAAAAACAACATCCTCCGACGACGGCTCAGCTCGTATCGAGGCAATAGTGTATTGGGGCTTTGACGAGATTACTCGTCACCAGCATTGAACGTGTTAACTGTAGAATTGAGGCAAAAAGTGTGTGTCTGCCAAAACCATAAATTGAATTGAATTTATTTTAGTTTGAATATTGAGTTTGTATTAAACATCACATATTATAGGTATTGCTACTCTGTCCATTTCAATTTCAGTGCATTAAGAGGTCTGAGTTAAAAGGGGGAGGGGTAAAATTGTAGGATCCAATTCCGGTCCTAGAAGGAAGACTACACTGACAGGGGGTACAATTCCACCCTGTACACTGACCAAATATGTGTGAGTTCTAACTGGGGGGGGGGGGGGGGTTAATTTTTTTTACCCGGCCTGACCATTTGATTAGTTGCCGGTGGATAAGAAAATGAGACGTCACTAATCTGGGTGGGGAAAAATTCCAGGGGTGTACAATTCCACCACCCCTTGTAAAGTATAGTGTCCAACTAGCAAGCTTGTTTTCAAAGAAGGTAATAAAAAATAATTTAAACATACAAAACAATAAATAATTTAGTTCCATAATTCAGTGTCAATAAAAATACATATCTAAAGTAAAAATTATACATTGAATAATAAATGCAAAACCTACAAGACTTCTAATAACATCAGGACTATTTTAAAGTGTCTTATACATTTTGTGAATGGATACAATACAGTTTAACTTATTACTTATAGGTCCTTATGACTTAATTTAAAAAGTATGAATTGAATGTGAATAGTATACAAAAATATATAATTTTAAATCATGGCCATATTTTAGAACCATGCTCCAATACCTCTCTCTATCTTTCCGTGAACAAAATTTTGAAGTTTAAAACAATTTTATTGACAAATTATTTCCAAACAAGTACTGATGCTAGGTATTTTGTACTATTTTTTGTTGTAATATAGTACAACAGTCTGTACAGGAGAATAAATGAGAGGATGGTAAGAGAAGGATATTATTCAAGGTACATTGAGTTGTAGGATCCAGTTCACTACAGTGGGAACTACACCAAGTTTAATGTAGAACTGCTTGACTTTAGTGACATCTATGAGACACTGGTAACATTTTTGCAGCATATTAACATTATAAAAATATATCAACTTCACATTTGGTATACTACAAAGTAAAAACGGTACAATATGTCAGTCTCTAAATCTACATGGTAACGTTAACACGTGTTATTATTATTATTTTTCCTCTAGAGGAGAAAGTGAAAATAGGAACCATAGATATGTTTAGGGATTGGTTCAGGAAACAGTTTTGTAGCACTTTTGCTGTCGACGCATGACACAAGCGGCACACATCAGCCAATTATCCCTCCAGCTTTTCTTGGTGGACTTGCAGACTTCTGAAAATAAATCATACAACTGTTAATGAAGAATGTAGAGTTCCACGGTTGTTCTTACTAGATGCTTATTGGCTTCTAGGTTGGACGGTGGAATGTCGAGATTGAAATCATGGTCCAATCCAGTATATGAGTTCACATCTTACAAATCTTTTTCTGGGAAACATATTTTATATCAAGTTACAGTATTGTTGTGATACAATTGTTTCCCAAATGTTTTCCTTTAAAAAAAAAATTCTATGTTTAATTTACAAAAAATATCTTTTTCCAACAGCTGGTAATAAAAAATAAAATAAAAAACACTGTTAAGAGAAAATGTTTAATTCAAAAGTGATACCTGTCATTTTGTTTCCTTGAGTAATTTTCACAGTCCAAACATTAGATTACGAAAACACCAAGGTTTTTGGTTGTAATTTGACACAAGTTAAAATTAAAGTAACTTTATTTCACTGAAGTTCCCAATAGTCAATGATTATAAACAGTATATCTGGGCACTGGGACAGGAATTAAATATTTTACCTTCAATTTTGAAAAATAGTATAACAACAGTAGAAAGTGAGTGATTACATATTTGAGACCATGTTTGAATTGTGAGATTTATCGAGCACTTTAAATGGTCGAGAATTGGACATTGTACATTTTAAATCAGCATAGGCCTAATTATAACTTTAAGTTCACCAAGATCCAGGGCCGCGTTAGGAGTCAGAGGAGCTCTGGGCAAACCCCAAAAGCAGCGCCCCTGGGCATATTCCCAGTCTGCCCGTTTATAAAAGCAGGCCTGCCAAGATCTACATACTTCCTCAAATCTTATTTTATTACATTAAATTCAGTGTAATCATTTTGCACACTAACAAATTAGAATACCATAATAAACCTATTAACCTATTTCAGAGCAACAATAAATTATCTAAATTGCCGTAACTGTAGAGCCTATTTTTAAGTTAAAGCCTAATATACCATTCACGGCACGACCACCCCTCCCTGAGATTAAAGAGCTTAAATTATATTTATTTAACTCGCTAAACTATTTATTCTTAAAATAATTCATCAATTATCAGATTTAAATTAAGACTTACCTCATCAGACAAATAAATAAAACATATAAGTTAGGAATGATCTTTAATAAGAAATAGATTTCAATGCGTTGGCTAAGTTAACAGCCAAAGGAATTTTGTAAACATCTTAAAGAGCGAGCCAACAATAATAGATAGATATATAGAAAGATTTCCTGTGCGTAGCAAAACTTCTTTGACAGTCATATTAATATATTTCCAAATAATATAACTAATAAGCGCAATAATTTTTCACCAGTTACTTTAAATTAAAGAAAAAAAAGAATTTGATCAAACTAAGTGCAGATGAACTACTAAGTCAAGTTATTTTTCTATAACAATGGTGGATGGATTTAACTATTTCATGCAGTGGTGTTAAAAAACGTTAAAACGTTCTCAACCGCATCCCTTTCCTGTTGCAAAGCAGGATATAGTGAAGAGTCTTCTTCACCCCTGCGAAAAACATTGAAAACATGCCTCGGGCGTCCCTCGCTCGTGATGGAATTCGTAAAGATATATTGCTAAAACTTTTTTTCCTTACAGATTAATGTTGGTTCTAGGTCCCTCATACACGATATATCCAAGAAAATCAATAGTATAAGTACAAAAAAATCTTAAAAGTAACGTAAATTCAGTTACTTTTAAAGTTTAATAAAACTATTTTTTTGTTTAATTTTCAATTTTTGAGGTATAAGAGACGTAGTATAACTATTCAACTAA